GCGGTTCCACCGCCACAGTCTGTTAGTGCCATCGCCAAACAGGGTCCAGCAATCTGGTTGGGCCTTAAATCCAGCCCAAACCAATCTAATTACGGGCCTAGTTGGCCCTTAAGAGGAACTTATCACATACTAAAAGTCCATAAAAATTCTTCTTTCATGAGAAGAGTAAGGAAGAATTCATGGGAAACGAGCATCAAATGAATGATAAAAAATCCATAAATGAAATCCACGAGAGATGTATTTGTTAATGAAATCCATGAGTGAAGGGACTAAGTGTATCAAAAATCATTAAGTGATAGAGTAAGGGTATAGAATAAATTTGATACCAAGTAAATTGATATTCCAGATTTCATAAAAGCTTTATTAAAAAAATAAAAAAAAGTCCAAAAAATATATACAACAAACTCATGCATTTGGACAATTTAACATCCCTAACTTTACAAATAATAATCACATGAGAAATAAGACCAAAAGTTGAATATTTTCTTTTGCAAATATCACGAGAAAGAAAAACGTTCTCGATTTAAAAAGAAAACCAAAAAAATTGAACAATATATCAAGGAATTTATGCATTCAAAAGATTTATCATGCCTAATTCTTAGAGTGTTTCAAGCATTAAACCATCATCAACAAGCGCATCATAATATTGAAAAGCATACGACGTGAAAGGGTACGTCATGGAATGTAAAAAGTATTAAAGAGTACAACTCATCATGGTGCTTTTTAGTTCCCTACTTACTTTTATCAGTAGAAGAAAATACATAACATATTTAGGTGGTGGTAAATCAAAATGCCTAAACAAAGTATTCAAATATTGATGAATTTGTTGCATCTCAATTAAGCTAATCATACTCATTGCCCACTTCCGATGTGGGACTAATGGGACGTTACATATAGCAAACAAGTACTCTTGCCTCCTTTTCATTTGAGACAAGCAATATCATAGTCATAGTGTGGTGCAAACGTTTATTTGCATAAACATCATATCAACTTATTTCCAAGTTTTGACTTTCACAAGAATACTTACAGAAACGATTAGTTCAAATATACTAATTATCTATGAATCAGAACTTTTGTTTTGTAAATTGCAAAGAGAAGGAATAAAAGTAAACAATCTTATAAAAGAAGATTCAATTTTCAAAGGTCAAGAAATCTGGAAAATATAAAAGAGGAACTTATGCGTAAGAATTCTCAAGTTTCAAATATCAAAAAATCAAGATCAAATGTTTATAACATAAGATTTTAAATAATCATTACATCATTAAGTCATCATGATTGAATATAAAGCATCTTCAATCATTTTGCAACTAATAGTTCTACTCTAATGATCTTTCCTTTATTGTTTTGACTAGAGAGCTTTATGGGGTATTTTAGAACTCCGATGTACATCCATTATCAATGTATTAGTTTTGCTCTAGCTTATGATGGTAAACATTTATACAAAGAATGGTGATTTTTATGTAACCATTTAACCTTAGGTACCTCAAAAATCGATCTAATCAACTTATCATTTTATATGGAGTTCTTTATGATTCCTTTAGGAACCCAAATCAATTTGTGTAGACTATATCTCTTAAATGAACATTTATAAGTAACATATCCGAGTTTACAATAAAAAATATATTTGGTGGGGGGTGATACATGAAAGGTAGGACCTTTAATAAAGGTGGTTAAATTTTGGTGAGTGCTACTCACAAATCTGATTTCGTCTTTTCTATGAATGTGACCCTTATTGGCGAGGATCATATTCAAGTACTTGCTATAAACCTTAAACTTTTTTAGAGTTTCTTTGAGTAGCAAGTTTTCCTTCTTAAGTGTCTCTAAGTATTCACACTTAGTGCATGGAGGCAATGAAGGATTATCATGTTTAAGTTTTTCAAATTCAGTATTTAAAAGGGCATGCTTCTTTTTCAAACAGTTAAACTTTTTGCTCATTATTCTACATTCATCGAACAGATCATGAAAATTACTTAAAAGCTTATTGAAAGATAAATTTGCATCTAATGAACTACTTACCTCATCTCTGATACCTATTAGTGCGTAGTTGATGATTTCTTTATTGTTTTGTTCTTCGTCTTTGGAATCGCTCAAGTCATCGCATGTTGCTTTGAGCACATTCTTTTCTTTGGTTGTTTTTTCTTCACTTGGGGGCATTCGCTTTTAAAATGTCCCGGCTTCTTACATTCGTAACATATAACTTATTCTTTTTTAGGTTCAATTTTATTTTTTATGTCATTTTTAGATTTATTTCTTTTTATGAATTTTTGAACTTTCTTGTCAAGAGTGTTAAGTCATCATCATAGTCTTTATCACTTAAATTTTCTTTCAAGTGGTCTTCTAAGTTCTTAGTGCAATATCCTTCGTATTCTTTGGAATGTTGTTCTCAAACTCTTCATGAGCATTGCAAGTCATTTCGTAGGTCATTAAAGAACCAATAAATTTTTCGAGCGAAAAGTTATTTAAGTCCTTGGCTTCTTGAATTGTCGTTACTTTAGGATCCTAACTCTTTGGGAGGGATCTTAATATTTTGTTAACAAGTTCGAAATTAGAAAAACTTTTACCAAGTTCATTTAGACCATTGACGACATTCGTAAACTGGGTATACATGTCTTCAATGGTCTCACTTGGTTTCATCCGAAATAATTCATAAGTATAAACTAAGAGATTAATATTGGACTCCTTTATACTAAGGAGGGGGGGGGGCATTTCAATTAGTGCAGCGGATAAAAATGATAAATTTCAATGATTTTAGAAAACTTCATTCGATGAAATTCTAAGTTCGACGAAAACGGTTAGTTAGACTCGAATAAGTTTGCAAGTGAGTAGAGAAGAGGGGATTGAATAGTTTGCAATGAAGTAAAGTGCTATAAGAGAACAAGCAGTAAGGAAAGAACACAACAGAATTTATAGTGGTTCGATCATTGTGACCTACATCCACTTCTGATTCCTCCTTCGTCGAGGTTATTAGCATCCACTAATGGTCCTCCTTCAATAGGCGAAGACCAACCACCTCTTTATAGCGCTTTATCCTTTTCATGAGTTTAGGAGATAACTCTTATAAGCCTTACATAATTACAAAGCTAAAGACAAAGAGGAGGAGGACTCTTGCACTTTTACAACACTTTTTACATCTCAATACTTAAAAATTTTGCTATCCTTTCATGCAGAAAAGGGTGAGATATTTATAGGTCTCAATGACTTCAAAATTAGAGCCAAAAAGTGTCTCATCCCGGATATCCTGGGTACTAAGCGATACCACCGCTAGTACTAGGCGGTTCCACTGCCTAACACTCTGACATTGGGTGGTACTATCGCCTGACACTCTAACACTGGATGATACCATCACTTGACAGAGTCTCGGATACTGAGCTTTGACAGCACCATCGCTTAACAAGGCAGTACCACTGCCCATACCACCTGGGAGATCGTTCCCTGGGCAGTTCCATCGCCCTAGTCTAGTGGTGCCACCGCCAGACAAGGTCCAACAACTTGGTTGGGCCTTGAATCCAGCCCAAACTAGTCCAAGTACAGGCCGAGTTGTCCCTTAATAGGGTTAATAAGATTATCTCCCAAACCTAATCCTAATTATATGCTAACTATGATTTTTAAGGCATACACTAAGCAAAATAAGCCCGGTAAGTTTAGGTTTCTTCTAGCGAGTGTCCGGTGGACTTCCGACGATCTCTCGACAATCTTCCAGTGGACTTCTGATAATCTCCTAGATTTCACGATGATCTTCTTAGCGAGTTCCGACAAGTTTCTTCTCGATCAATTCGGGCAACATTTTCGACGAACCTCCGGACTTCCGATGAACTCTCGAACTCTCAATGAAATCTCGATCATGACTCCGACACTTCGTTTTGCTTTATGCATTGATCGTTATCGTAGTTAATCATGTATACTTTTCTCAACATATAGATTTGATCAAATAATTTACTAATTGATTTCATCATCAAAATCCAAGATTCAACATACAAACAAAACACAAAAAAAAATATTTTTTGAAAAATATATTTTTAAAATTCATCTAATATTTTTAATTAACTTAGATCTTATCATTTCCTAATACAATTATTTTATAGTCTCAAGGAGATAAAAAAATATTTTAAATTTTTTTTAATTCAGCTAAAAAAAATTATTAACTTATTCACGATCTTATCATGCCATAACGTACATTTTACTGTTCATGAAGATCAAATAATTTATATATTCCATATGAAGATTCCGTGAGTAGAGTTTTCTTATGTCTTCATCTTGTGATTCATATTATAAACTAGCTTCATAAATACGATAAGATTTCAAAAACGGAATAAATTGGATCAATTCTATCACATTGGTTCGAAGATCACATTTGAAATGGTAAAAATTATATATAGAATACCATCATCCGCATGCACATGCCGTTGCTATCCCACATTATCCACGCTGAGATTATTCAATCCAATGGGTGTATTTTTCTGAATCGAAGTCCCCTTTCCAGCCACAACAACATCATGTCACATCTACCATTTGCTCGACATGATTGACTTAGCCAATTCAACTAGTTTATGCCATCAAGAAAAATATTAATGTCAATGGAAGACCACACACGACAAGCAATCATGATATAAGAATGACATGCTATTTCTTTTTAGAGTTGTTTAGCCTTCAGTTCTTGAATAGCTAATCAGTCACTTGAAAATAAATAAATCTATTTGTATCATTAAATTTGTTCGAAAAATTTCACCAATCTTTTCTTACGGTTCGACCTAATTTAATCTGCACTAAATATTGTTTAGGAACACTTCTCGTTGACCACAATGTTTCGGTCAAAGCCGGTTTGATCAGGCCGGATCGATTTGGTTCGACCGGGTTTGAAATTACTGTTACCCCCTCGGAATCCCACAATGACTCGAGTTCAGAAGGACGTCGGACCATTAGTTGATCGAGCGGCGACCAACGATCGAACACCCTCGGTGCATGACCGGATGCTTCAGAGGGATCAGCAAAGCCGGGCGCATCCCACCACCCGCACTTTCCCATGCCTTTTGTGGGGTTTCTTCCCAGAAATAGGGCATTTGTGGGCTCAGCCAAAACCGACGTCCTTTGACCACTTTGTCTGCTTCGCCATAAAAGATCTCTTCTCCTCCGTGTCAAGGTCTTCTCTCTCTCTCTCTCTCGGGACTCCCTCGCTTGGCTCTATTCTTGCAGGCTTAGCCGAAGGACGAGCATCGATGAGATGAAATACCGGGATGCATAGGAGAGGAGGTGGTGAATCCTGAGGTATAACATCTCTCGTGTATCTTAGTTGGTTGGTGATAGGTTGGGGCGGCTTGAATCGGGGAATATGCATGCGGTGAACGCGATGGCGGTGGCGAGGGGGATGATGATGATGATGGCAGCGGCAGCGGCGGGGGTTGGTGGTGGGGGTAAGGGGGAAACGGTGGCGGTGCTGCAGGAGGCGGAGGACGTTCCTTTTGGGACGGTGTGGTGGTACGTCTACGCGGGAATCTCGTGCTTGCTGGTGCTATTCGCGGGGATCATGTCCGGGCTCACGCTAGGGCTTATGTCGCTTGGTCTGGTCGATCTCGAGATTCTCCAGCGCAGCGGGACCCCCACCGAGAAGAAGCAGGCAGGTCCGTCCGTTGTTGCTTCCCTCGTTTCTTGCATTTCTTGTACTGATTTCGTGCTCGATTGCGCCTATTTCTATCAGTGTTTTGAATTCTGATAAAGATCGTCTTTTGTTTTTGCTCGCTTCTTCTCTTCCATGAACGTGGTCTTAGTAGCGGAAAATGCTTATGATATATTCGGTGTTCTTGGAATTTTTCCTTGCCCTAAATGGATACGTTCTTGCACGACACTTTTCTCAAAGAGTGTTTAAAGAACTTCATTCCTCAGTGGCGGGGAAAAATATCGGGGACGTCTTCGTCATCCCGACTCGTTTCGGGCCCGCGTGCACAAGATGTCTGAGGTGATCGAAGGAATGACTTGGACTCTCCTCGGGTCTGAGAGGGACTCGGCTGTGCTCTCCATGCCGACCAGCACAAAAATCGAGGTTGAGTGGGCTTTCCAACTTGATCCCTCCGACTCTCAAGTCAGAGCAATCATAATGAATAGTCACTGACCTTAATTTTTGTGATCTGAAGGGCTTTTTATAGCAGGCCGGGCTAGGATGACACATGTTGAGCCCGAATATTTTTTCTATCATTTGTCTCCCAAAATTGTACTTTGGTAACTCTCTCGGAGGGATCCAGAAGTGCATCCATGTGTTGGCTCAACACGTTGTCATCGGTGCATCTAGTAATCTCTAAAGGAGACAATTGGGAGGTGGGTGCGTCGGACGTTGGAGACAACATCGCCCGAACCGTTGCAGCACTGTTGAGGAGCTTACATTCGATAGTGGAGTACCTCGGTTGATCGGTCGATCCATCCTCTTCGATACGTGGAAAGTGGATGGCTCGATCGTTGGGCAGATTAGCTCGGTCGGTTCGTTTGCTTTGGACGATGGAGGTTGGACCTTGGTCGATCTAGCAAAGGGTTGCTAAAGCACCCACTTCGTTGCAGGAGAGAGAGTTTTGTTCAACTTGCTAGCAAGCCGAGGCTCCTACATCGGGTGTTTGATCTACAACAACAACAATTGCTCATCTCTTGAAGCACTGCCTCCCTTGTGGGTCTTTTGACTCGTGGCCTTGTTGGTGGTATGGAGCAATGCAATGCCTGCTCATGTAGTTGCCTTTGGCTTAGAGTAGAATAGTTGCCCTATAGGTCCTCATCGATGTAGTTTTCAAGTTTACTACAGCATTTAGTCTCAAGTATGTAGGTGGTGGCAGCGGGAGTGACATGGACGTGGCCATGAAGGACTCGTTCGGCGTGGCTTGGGCCATCGTAGTCGTGGGCAAGAAGCCCCCACATATTGCAGCTCGACTTATTGTCGTCGCTGAAGTGCCCAGATTGTCACAAACAAAACTATAAACATGGTGTTTGATGTATGGTTATTTATGTCTGTGTCTTTCGGTTTTGTTTATGCTTTACACTACATATAGAGAGCTTGTAGTAAGCTTGGTAGCCTCATTTCGGTTGGCTTTTATGGTCGTTTCAATCTTGTAAATGCAAGTTGTGTGTAGTCGTCGTGCAAAGGTAAAAAACTACCTAGAAACAAGTCATTTAGAAATATTTTTAGGGTTTTCTAGCTCTAGAGTGGTACGGTGTGTCAGCCAGCACAACACCCAAGAGCAACCCAGGTGGCACATGGCTGGATGAGCCTTTGAGATAGTGTTTAGGGCTGGTTCACTGTCTTGTTCCGTAGCAGTGTCATGTGGGCACTTATAAGGACTTTTGATCGTGGGGACCACCTTAGACTCTTTATCGCACGATTATTCAAAGCTTATGAAGTCTATGTTTGTAATTTACATTACATATCAAGTATTTGCTGAAATGTCTTCTTGTGGGATCTTGAGTTAAATGCTTTCTTTAACCCGTCTTATCTTTTGTCGATTTTTAAAAGACCATAAGAGGTTTTAGGAAGGCTGACCCTTTGCTGTCATCATAGAGGGGCACTTCAGATTGTGTCGATCATGTTGTCATCATAGAGGAGTGCTTCAAGTCGTGTCAGGTGAGCTATCGTTGTAAAGGAGTGCTTTGGGCCATGTCGACCGCGCTATTGTGGTAGAGGAGTGCTTCAGACCGTATTGGTCGCACTGTTGTCGTAGAGGGATGCTTCAAGCAATGTCGGTTGCGCTATCGTTGTAGAGGAGTTCTTTAAATCGTGTTGGTTGTGCTATCGTCGTAGAGGGGTGCTTTGAATCGTGTCGTTTGTGCTGTCGTCATAGAGGAGCATTTCAGACCATGTCAATCGTGTTGTTGTGGTGGAGAAGCGCTTTGGACCATGTCAACCCGACTTGGTTTAAGCCTGCGTGCACAAGAGGTATGAGGTGGTCGGAGGAATGGCTTGGATGCTCCACAGGGGCTAAGAGGCACTTGGATGTGCACTCTAAGGCCGACCTGCATGAAGATCGAGGTCGGGTGGGCTTCCCGACCCGATCTCTTTGATGCTCAAGTCAGTTACCGACAAAGGTAGAATAATCTTAGTTAATGGTACTGATCTCAATTTCTATAGTTTGATGGGCTTTTTATAGCAAGTTTAACCTGGGCTGGGCCACTACATGTTGAGCCTATATTGGAGCGAATATTTCCCCTATCACGGAGCATTTTCACTTATAATTATAGTTTCTGACATGTTACTATTGGATCAATGGGTGATTCTCTTTGAATATAAGCTCAAAAGAGTCAGTTGTATGATTTGTTAGTCAACATCTTTTTTACATAGATATTTCGATAATTAATCTAATTGGTAAAATAAATAATTGATAAACCACTCAATTTAGAAAAAATTCTGGAATTATTTTTTTTACTATCCTAGATCTGGCTGTTTATTGATTCTATTAGAAGCAATTATAAACCACTTCTTTTAACCAAAGTTTGAAATTTCATACCATACCAGTGTATCGAGCTTTGCTCGATACGGTACAGTATGTTGTATTGAGTGGTACGTCAGGGCATATCGAGCGATATGCATATATATATATAATATAATATAAAAATATTTTTAAAAAAGGCGTACACAGCCTCGGCAACGTCGCCTCCTCCTCTTCTCCTCGTCGCCTCGTTTATGGCATTCGATAAAGGCAACGAAGACATCGAAGGCCGCAGATGTCTCTAGCCTTCGGCAAAGAACACAACGAAGGCCGCAAATGTCTCCGGCCTTCGGCGAAGAACGCGACGAAGAAGGACTCAAAGTCACGGACGAGGCAATGAAGGAGACAGCCTCTTTCACTGCTCTAGTCGTTGCCTCCCCTGACCCCCGCACCTCCAAATCCTCCTCTTTACGATTCCCCTCGTCGTTACCTCCTGGATCAGGATCAAGATCGTCGAGGGAGGGCGACTTCAGATCGGGATCGAGAAAGAGTGTGGAAACAAGTTCAAGTCGAGGTTCCCCCGATTCTCCCTCTTCTTCGAACACCCTCTCCTTCTTCTTCCTTCTTCGACTCTTCTCCCTCAGCCTCGTCGTAGCTAGGCCATAGCTAGGCCACTATATCGAGTAGACCACCTACTAGCGAGTGGTTCGCGTACCGGTTCATGGGCGGACCGGTACGTATCGCTCGTACTGGGCGGTGCGATTTGAAATCGCAAACCTTGCTTTCAACACTATCAAGGGTAACGACATTTATGGCATGCAACAAGACTTAGGCTGCTTGATAGTGATTTGCATGTGTTGACATGAAAATGGAGTGAAGGTAGATGTTCCCTAATAGGATAAACTTGCAATTCACCATTGACCCTTTCTTGTCTTGTTTTGATTTATGCATGCATTTCCCATGACCCATAAGCCTTTCTATGTTTCTCGGAATCAACTTTACAGGTCTTCAATGTCCTTGTCATGCAAATCTTTGTTATTGCATCATTAAGTTTTTAAAAATTCAACTCTATGAGTCTTCCTATGTGTAGATTATGTAATTTATCTAAAAATATGGTTTTTTGCGTATATCAATTGTGGCAAAAGATCATGTAGCTAATTCCAAATAGTTGGAACTTACAGTTTTGTTGTTGTTGTTGTAGTATTATGTAATTTATCTAGAAAACCTTCCAAATCTTGGGCTAATACTGCAGAGTGCTTCGTTTTTGGTCTTTTTATTGCAATACAACCCTTTTTTATCAAATATCAAAGATGCCCTCATAAAGTGTCCCAGTTTTCCTTCCTTTTTGATCTGTTTCAAGTACTTCCTTTGATTCAGTTTAAAAGATATAGTCAGACCAAACCAATTACAATATTTTTGAATAATGTTTATTCTATTAAGGTCTTAAACAGATCAATTCACGAAGAAATTAAATCATCAAGCATGTTTTACTGCTTGACTTTTACACTTCTATGACTTAATTTCTATTGCGTCCATGAGCTTTCCACATACTCAATTAAATTTATTAATAAAATCTATGGCACACTCATTGAATTTATATATATTGCTAGCTGAAGCAAAAAACTTTTATGTTTTAGCTCACAAATTTTATGCACATTACTTTTTTTGGGCATCTCTTTGACAAACCAGCTATCCATTGATTATTGCAGCTCAAATTCTTCCTGTTGTTCAAAAGCAACACCGACTTCTTGTGACTTTACTTTTATGTAATGCTGCTGCCATGGAGGTAACACTTTTCTTAAATTATTTTTAAATAATTTATACATGTATATGTTTCTGGTCATGCACTAAAACCAAATGCCATAGGATACAAACATATATACCTACATAATCAATATAAAATATAACAGAATCATGACAACTTCCCTCCAAGTTCTGATATTTTGTTCCAAGAAATCGTAAAAGTTGAAACAAATAAGATAGAGGAACTAGAAGACAAGGAAACTCCTACATCGTTTTTGATACATCCTTGAACAATATTTATATGATTTTGGTAGTCATATGCCTTTTGGGAACTTCTATTTGTGTTAGTCCTACTTAAAAATGGTGAACCAAGATCTGGTATATAAATGATAAAGTTATTAGCCAGGAATAAAATGAGGAAAACCTTTAAATGCACTTTCTCACAGAAAGAGTTGACTACATTTATGATATATCAACATATAATGAGGCTTTATCATGTAGGTAATTATGCCATTTTTCACAGGCTTTAAATCTAATTCAGATTGCCAAACAATATGTTCTCCTGCTTATCAAGTTTGCGTAACTTCTTTTATTTGCTTCGACTGCACATGCTAATGGTGCCCAGATTCAATTGTTTCATGATGCAGGCTCTTCCTCTATATCTTGATAAAATTTTCCATCCTTTTGTTGCTGTTGTCTTGTCTGTAACATTCGTTCTGGCTTTTGGAGAGGTACTTTGGTTGATTATTGATTATTTTTTATGCTTGAAATTGCTAATCTTACACTATACATGTAGGAAAACAATGCTAATATGCTATGTTTTGTCCAGGTTATTCCTCAAGCCATATGCACAAGATATGGACTAGCTGTGGGTGCTAATTTTGTATGGCTAGTACGTATCTTGATGATCATATGCTACCCGATTGCTTATCCTATCGGCAAGGTGATTATATGTTAAAATCAATATAATGGATCATATTTTAATTTGATTTATCCATTAGATTGTCTGTATGTAATGGCATCCGAAATGTGGTTATGCTCGACTAGCATAGCCGAGACAATCAGGGTTTAGTTCCATATTGAATTCACAAGTGGGTTTTCTGCAGGCAGTTCTATGATGAAGATGTAAGGGATTTAAACAAGGGACATTGTGAATAATTAAGAAGGAAAAGAAGGAGACATGCATTACACTTTAGTGGCCTACTAGTAAATTCGTCTGAAGTATTCTAGTCTTTTAAGTATGCTTCATGCCACTTATTGGATAATTGTTGTATTTGGGTTGTTACATATTCAAGTTTGGGGATTTTTAGGAAGTCTTTGCCATGCTGACATGTTCTGGGTAAAGGGCACGGGATCATGTTGAACGATGTCACCTTTTCCATTTTATTGGCCGTTTCAGCAGGCATGGACCCATGCCATGCCGTGTCTGCACATTATTGGCATGGGTTATTCCAGTGGTAATTAAATCCTTGATTATAAAATCTCAGTAACTCCAACTAATCAGCTTTAGTCATGTTGATCTCATATTATTATCTTTGGCCTGAGACAGTTGTTGGGGAAAATAGCATGATGCAAAAACATTGTTGCAACAAGTTTTATCTCAACATCCCGTAGATGCTTTCAGGCAATATCTAGCCCCTTAACAAGGATGTAGACGATCAGTGAGTGTACTTATAGCTTGGAAAGACAAAGTATGGTCTTGCATGAGACTTGGGATGCGTACTGCCAAACTTGGGCTGAGCAAGCTCATGTGCAAGTTATTAGCCTAGTATGTATGACTTGGTCTATCACGAGAGACCACAGGTTTTTCATCCTTTGGTTGTTTATCTTTTGTTGTAGTTGTCTCTGTTATCAATTTTGCATTGCTCATAATGTGCTTCATTACTAATACTCTTAGAATAGGTTATAGTTCAGAATGGATATTGCTTATGTACTTATCTTTAGAATTTGAACGACTTTAGGACTCCATTGTGTATGGTTCACCAATTATTATGATTATGAATTAAGAACAGGATTTATTACTCTACTGTGCCTAGTTTATTGCTTATTGCAATATGTGTTACTATATTTTCTTTTGAATAATATTTGCAAGAAAACATTAATTATTAATTTTATTTTGCTTCAAATGTTTATTGGTTTAATTCTGTATAACTAAAGTGTGCCACTCCAGATTCTTGATTGTGCACTTGGACATAGTGAATCTGCACTTTTTAGGCGTGCTCAATTAAAGGCTCTTGTATCCATCCATAGTCAAGAGGTAAAATACCTATTATATTGTAGTACCTACTAACTTCTTATGTTAGTTATGCACATTAGTTGGACTTGTAAAAGTGCTGGAGTCTATTCGAAGTTTTCATTAGTTCTCATTGTTATCTAATATTACTAGCATTTCTTTAATAATTTAGGCTGGTAAAGGTGGGGAGCTCACACATGATGAGACAACAATAATAAGTGGAGCTCTTGATTTGACTGAAAAGGTATATGTTATCAAATTCTGATGTATGTTCTCTTTTACATTGGAGTACATGCCTTAAAGGGATACCTTCCGGTACATGTTTAAATGAGCACCTGGTTTTATATCTGTATTAACTGGTAAATGCTACATGAGAAGATGCAGGGAGATATTAAACATATTATTTAATGTAGTTCTGAACGATCAGTTACGCAAGCAAATTAAATCTAGTAACAAAGTGCTGGGAAATACATGACCAATTGAATATCAAGTTCACTGCTTTGAGCTAACTATCCTGATCCAGAAAATACTTGTCTAGGAAATTATGTGTTTGATGGGTGTTGGAAGTCATCCAATATTTTTTTTGTTAGTTAATTGATGTATTATCAGTGTTAAAGTAGCTTCAAGAGATAACACAAAATGGTTTTAGACTACATTCATTTATGTTACTATCTAGGTTTTCCATTGTAGGTGATCTTAGTCATGCTATACTATATCAGCAAGCCATATGGTCCCAACTACTTATGGTCGTTATGTGGATCCTTCCTGCCATCGAACTATACCATCGGCAATATTACTAGTCAAACTAAAGATCAATCACATCTCTTTTTTGTTGTTTCTAATAATTTTGTCTTCCTGTGTCTTTACTCATATTAGCATTTTTAGTTGACTCTTCTGATCTAACGGGTACATCTACGAGTCTCCTTGGATATTAATCTTAATCATGGTAAGGTTAAATAGATCTGCTGGATTTACCTTTGTGGACTTAGCACTGACGAGCCCTATTTAAGAAACTCCATCTGTTGAACTACCATCTTTCACTATTTCAGCGGTCTACTGAGCATGAGAATATCATGATCCTGAGATAGAATACAGAAGGGTTTTTATATAATCAGATATCTTTATTCCTTGATCAATGTATATTGGCCTGGTACTTGAAATCACTTCCATTACACCATATTCATTAGTTTTTGGATTTTGGAAAAAAACAGTATAAAGAGATCACAGATTCTTGGCCCATGTATTGATGTTGTATCAGAACACAATGAAATCTTCAACGTTGCATAAACTGGATCACATTCTTTTTTGCTGCTCCTATGCAAAAGGCCATGTGCATTCTTTCAGGGTAATCCTGGCATGGAAATTAAAAGGGAAGAATGGAGTATCTTCTCCTTCACCACCTAAATCCTTACACTCATCCTCTTTGCATCCCTTTCCATACCCCCACATTGACAGAAGTCTCATGCATTGAGCTGTCTTTTTTCTTAATACTAAACATCATGGCAGCAATAGGTCATGTTTCTTCTACATATTGAATAATTTCAAGTGTGGAAAAATTATTATAGGAGACCAAAAGGCGTTTAATTAAATAGTCAAAGGCCTTCCTTGATTTTATTTCTTATTTAAACTTTAAACAATGGTGTACTACTTTAAAGATTTTTTTGTTTGTTTAACATTGTAAATCTTTTTGACTTATAAACTGGATCACTTTTGAAAAAACTTGAAAGCATTATTTGTCAATATACTGGTTAGAACATAGCTTGCATGTAAAGGCTTGGTGGTTCATCAATCACTGGAGTGTCATATCTGATTTATTGGTCACTGATTTCGTTCTTATCCTTGGGCTGTTGGGTAAGTAAAATTCTTTTAAAATAAAATACTTAGGATTTACCCTCTCCTATACTAGATTTGAGGGCATAGGCTAGATGAAGTATACTGAATGATCTTTTAGTGATCATGTTGGCATGTTGATCTTATTTATTTTTTTGTGTGTGCACATTTATTATTTTCAACCAAGATGGTAGTGGTACTTGCTCAGATGACAAATCTCATACTGTTATATAAATACATAGATCAATATGTTAGACCCAATTATGCACTGTAAGCAGCTTCAAATTCATTGGCCACGAGTACTTAGTGTAACTTATCTGATGTTGCATTCTGAATGAGTTGATGGTTTGTTCTTTATTGTAGTAGTTTCTTCTGGATTGTTTATATATCCTATTTGAAATATGTGTTCACGAGTCCTTCTACAAAGACTTGTTGAGTTGATTTTGAGTACAGTTTTTTACTTAATTATAATATGCAGCTCTTTAAATTATAGTGCTTTCGTAACCTGTTTAATTTTTCTTTTTGGATATCTTTGGATATAGTGTGCTTTCTGGCTTCTTGCTTGCTTAATTTAGCTAGGTGAAATGCCACAGCTTATTCTTATTCTCAAACAACTGCATCGCGCATAATCTTCTAGAAAATAAATCTAAGAGTATGGTTTGGATATTATTAGATTATGTTTTTATGTGCAGACAGCTGAGGCGGCTATGACTCCCATTGAATCAACATTCTCATTAGACGTCAATTCAAAATTAGACTGGTCAGGATCACCAGATGGAAATAGTCTATTGTTTGAACTCTTGCTATCTTTTTCTTATTTAGATTTTGAAAAGTTACCTTAAACTAGATGTCAGTAGTATCTAATTCAATATTCTAGCCCCTTTAGTACTTATTTATATATTAATGTTCTGGTGGCTCACCATGTTGTGTCATAAAGAAAAGTCCTTTTTTTCTTATTCGACCGCTTATTGTGCGTAACGGCTTATTCTCCTTGATAACAAGATTCATATAGTCAAAAGTCATTTGACCACTATTCGAAAAGGTAGAGACATGTGAGAGGCCATTGAACCCTGCCGTAAACCACAAATGTGGTTCACAACACCATGACCCTTATGAAAAAAATGGTTAGGTTGATGATACATATGGATTTTTAAGTAACAGGATATCATGTTCATAAGGGTCAAATCATATTCTGGTTTGTGATTACACATGCAATTGCAACCCACTAAGTAACTTAGTTTGCTGTAGTACCCTTGTTGGATTTATGGTTCAAGCTAAGTTAGCAATCCCAATACATCTTAAGTCCGTCAACAAGTCAATATTTTGTCATGCAAAAACTAATAATCTCTTTTCTATGTTCAAAACTCCCAAAGGCTTATCTTTAAGGACAGTGTCAATATAAGAATAAGTTGTAATACTTATTCTGAACAATGCTTCTAGATCACAAAAAAAATTATTCAGATAATTTCATTCTTTTCATATCCTAAATTGAATTAACAAATGTCACTATTTGATTGGACTTTTATGCAGGGAAGCAATTGGCAAGATTCTCGCTAGAGGCCACAGCCGTGTTCCTGTTTATTCGGGGAATCCGAAAAACATTATTGGCCTTCTGCTGGTGAGTTTTGGTCTTCCGTACCACCTCTAGACCCATAGTGCTTTGATTTATATATTCCTCCAACGATACTGCTGGTTGTAATAATTGCTGTTTTTTCATTTGACATTCTCTTCATGAATCCAGGTGAAAAGCCTTCTTGCTGTTCGTGCTGAAACAGAAACACCAGTTAGTGCTGTTTCTATCAGAAGAATTCCAAGGTTTTACACCTTGTACTGTTGAGCTTTGATGCCTATACAAGAAGAGTATGCTTATATCTGAAATTTTAACAGGGTTCCCGGAGATATGCCATTATATGATATACTAAATGAGTTTCAGAAAGGAAGCAGTCATATGGCAGCTGTTGTGAAAGCTAAAGGCACAAGTAAAACCCCCTCCCCTGCCGAAGGGGAGAAATTAGAAGCAGACAATAAATCTAGTGGAAAATCTGAATTGATGGCTCCTCTGTTATCTAAAGGAGCCAAATCAGATAGTGTTTTTGTTGACATCGACAAATGGCAAAATAAACAGGCCAATGGAGATAAAGCAACCTTGCAACTGAATGATGCAGCAGCAAGTGTACTTGCTCATTTAACCGAAGATCAAGATGAGGAGGTCATTGGCATTATCACCCTTGAGGATGTGTTTGAAGAACTCCTTCAAGTAAACATGACTTTTACATGCTAAAATTTAACTATTTTTTTTTTAGTAGTTCCTTACAAGGTTTTGAACATCATACTAGATTTTACCGGCCCCAAGCAAGGATCAGCACCAGATCATATGACTTTGTATGCTTGTTATATGTTCTTTTATTATTTTCTCGTTGATATCAGATGGTATAGGTCAGTATAGTGGTATAAGGTCTATCTGATAAGTTGTCAATAACAGGAATGATCTGAAATCTTAAACCTTGAACCTCCTCATATATCACAAATAGACCTATAGTGTCTTTGTAACCTTCAACCGCTATTCTGCTTTAGATGTTCATTATATACCAATCCTGACAATTTAGGTACATACTCAAGTGACTTTGAAGTGACGGAGAACTTGGAGGTTATATTGCATAGTTTCTATGTCGATGCAAGCAAAATGTATGATCAAGTTATCAGCATGTCTATAGAACCATGATGTTTCATTTTAAGTCTTCAGAAAAGCAGGAGTTGATTGTAAATAATGGCATCATCATACTTCATGCAGGAGGAGATAGTGGATGAAACAGACGAGTATGTTGATGTCCACAAGAGGTATGCTTTAATGCTGTCTTGCCGGTAGTTTGTTGTTTCTGTCTATCTGGATCATGTGATATTTTACAATGGGGTGGGTATTGTTCTCCAGGATACGAGTAGCTGCTGCAGCTGCTGCTTCATCGGTTGCCCGGGCTCCATCTCTGAGGAGGACGACTGGACAGAAGGCAGCGGTGAGTCACTGCATCAGTTCTTTTGATCGAGTCCCAGGATCAATGGTTTTCATTTATCAGTGGGAGAATCATCTTAGAACCACATCATGTGCATTGTTGTCTGCGGAGTTTAACTTGCATTTATGAAGTTTCTAAATACTAAACATGGTCGCTTTCATGATCATATTTCGATGGAATCCTATCGTTATAGCTCAAAGAATATGCTAGTGACAAACAATGCAGCTCTTTCATGGGGCACAAGGAAAATGCCCAGTATAGGTGTTTACCTTTCATTTTTCTTCCTCAGGGTGCTCAAAATCGGCAAGGACAACAAACTACTGGGATCTCAAGGAAGCCTACTGATGCTGATTTAAACACGCCTAGGCACTAGGATTACTAGATTTTGTGATTCTCCAGATTCAATCCATCAGTACATTGTCGTTAGCATGGTTCCGATGTTTTTGTTGTTCCCATCTCGTTTTAGCATGGTTTCTAAATCATCCCCGAGAAAGCAAGAGCAGAGGCAATAGTTATTCCTCCCTCTTTAATATCAGTTTTTTTTCTTCCAATCCATCTTCCTTGATCTAAATGATTCACGTGGATATCATGCCAGGGTTTGGAGATTGAAGCCCATGATTTCCATATAGTTACGGATCCCTAGAGAATGCTGCCATGTTGCATCTTCAATCCAGGCGAGGTGAGTCGGTAAAGATGGTGATGATGTTTCTTTCGTTGGGCCGTTATTAGCAATCATGGGTGACTTAACAGACTCTATGTCGGTTGGGCTCCGCGACAAGCATCCCGCTCGCGACCACGAGGCCGTTTTGGCAGCCCAGAAAAAGGGTGTTTGACGTCCGGATGGGCGTAAACAGCAAGCGTGTGACGTGTCAGCACCGCACGCAGGCATCGGAGCCCCACGGAACACGACAGCGAGTTCGTTTGTTGGTTTCCTTTGCTGTCTTTCGTGGCAATCTCCCATTGGACGGCACGCTCCTCCTCTATTGGTCCAGCCGTTGCTGTCGCGCTTTTTATTCTTATTATTTATTATTTTTATATCCTCCTTTTCTATAAAATCTAATAATAATGATAATTATTATAGGGTGAATTTACGAAAAAATATTTTACTTTTTAATAATTTTCATAAAAACCTTTTTTTTAATAATAATTTTATCTTTTCATCGACTGCCCACTTTGCCCTGCCATGCCCAGCCCGGCCAATCGGCCGCCGCCTCCATCGTCGCCATCGTCAGATCCCAACAGCTTGCGATTGACGGTGCTCGCCCGAAGTCGGCAGGAGGCGACCCCGTGCACGATGAAGCGAGGCGGCTAGCCCTCGTGCGAGGGCTAGAGTGAAGAGGGCGACCCCCCGCACGATAGAGGGCGGCGGTCAACCCTCGCGCGATGCGTGGTTGCCCCACTCCGCCACACATGGGGCCTCCCCCTCCATTGCATCTCTCACACAAGGGTTTCAAGTGGAGGGGGGGCAGTCTTGCTTGGCAAAAGGGAGTGGTCCTCCATGGCAGAGGGGGGCTGCGAGCGATGATGTATCCGTCGAAAGAAGTAAAATAGTCTTTTCATATGATAGGGGGCTGTTTGGAATATTTAGGGGTGTTTTGCTGAAATTTTTGTAAAGGTAAATGTATTTTTGGGGAATTCGCCCATGATTATGACTATATATAGGTGTACCTTGTCTTAATCTTATCCTCGTCCGCAGCTCTCCCTCCTTGTCGGAAGACGAGGGGAAGAAGAAGGGATGGGCAAGCTAATGGCGTCCCCTCGCCCCTTATACCTACTTCTTGTCGTTGTATTGGCCACGGCGCTTCATCCGGCGCAGCAGGTCAACCTCTCTACCCCTCTTTTCTTTTTTCCTTTAGATCTTTGTCATCAATTAGTCATTAAATTTTACGGAGGAGAAATTTTCCTCCGATCATCATGCCGATCGCATCCAGCGACAGCCGCCACCGTGCTTCTGAATCCTCCTAGATGAATTGTATGCCAGAGGACGGGGAATCTTTGTCATAGGTTTCTTGAATCCGGACGACGTCTAGTTTCGAGGCTGAAATGGGGAAAGGACAGAACCTTTTAGCTGTGGAATGATCAAGATCATCCAGTTCTTGTCTACCCCTCTTCATCTGAATTGGGGTTTCTTGAATCCAGTTCTTGTGGGTTGGAATTCTTGTTGAGGTGATATGCCCAATGTTTTGACCCCAAATAATTCTCTCTCCCTCTCTTGTGTTTATGTGTCAATTGTAAGCAAAACATACATGAAAAAGTCTTATGGGTTAGGCGTTGGTTTTGTTCATAATCACTTATTGTTGTTGTTATGGATCGTATCTTTAGCTTTGGTTCTATGTCATCAGTTACGATGACTGACAACTTTGTTTCAAGTTAATTGATTTGCACTTCACCTTGTATTATGCTTTAATGATCATAAAATTAAACATTAGCTTCTGTTTTACAGGTATTTGCAGTGGAATCAACACCTCAGCTCAGGTCCGACTCAATGATTCTTCAGGTGTTCTTCTATCTCTATGTTCCAAACAGCCGATTGTTATGGTTGGATGTATCTTCTTCTACTCCACTTCTGGTGTTATTTTGATTTCGATCGTGATTACATGACAATCAAATGATCCAAACAGCCGCTTGTTATGGTTGGATGTATCTTCTTCTACACCACTTCTGGTGTTATTTTGATTTTGATTGTGATTACATGACACAGAAATCAATCGTTCAAGAGATTAATGCTAACCCTAATGCTGGATGGCAAGCGGCCATGAACTCGCGTTTCGAGAATTATACAGTAAGGCCCTGAAACCTGATTTCGATCATTCAGATTTACTTTAACGGCACAGAGGGGATCTCTGAGTCTTGTGGAATGATCCTAATTGCTAAGTTTTCTTTATTACTTTTGTAGATTGGCCAGTTCAAGCATATTCTTGGAGTGAAGCCAACACCTTCCAATGAGGTTATGGATATTCCTAAAAGAACTTACCCAAAATCTTTAAAGCTCCCTAAGCAATTTGATGCAAGAACGGCCTGGCCTCAGTGTAGCACAATTGGAACAATTCTTGGTCAGCTGTTAAACTTCCATTGTTTTCTTTTTCTTCTTCTTTATGGGTGATAAAATCAGATGGAAGACTAATGTTTTTTTTACTGTGTGCCAACTATGGCAATGGGGCATATCGATCAAATTGGTCAACAGATCAGGTAAGCTTGTTCATTTTGGTCCTCTTTGATATATAACACAAGACACATCATTAAATACATAGCTTGTTCATGATGGACAGGGGCACTGTGGTTCATGTTGGGCTTTTGGTGCTGTAGAATCACTTTCTGACCGTTTCTGCATTCACTTCGGCATTGTAAGAGCCTGCTCATCATTTCATAAAGATCACCATTTTGTGCATTGAGGAGACTAATGTAACTTTGCTCGTGTTTCTTTTTTTCTTGTCTTATAGAATATTTCTCTGTCTGTCAATGACCTTTTGTCATGCTGCGGGTTCATGTGTGGAGATGGATGTGATGGAGGGTATCCTATAAGTGCATGGCGGTACTTTGTCCAGAATGGCGTTGTCACTGATGAGGTAACCAACTACAATGCAGTCAACCTGCTTTTCTCCAAATTATATCATTTCCTCTTTGTCTTGTATAAATTTACCTTGCAATAGCAGATGCTGATACACAGTTGTCTAGTATTAGCTTTCCATTAGTCTTTGGCATGTGGAGCATCACAACACAGATATAAGTTGGCATGAGCAAGACCAACTACTGGTCTTAACTGAATACTCTTGTCCACTGTCAGAATATGGGTAGTCACTGAGAAGTGATGTCAGACTAGTTTTGGATACCAACTAAAATTAAACACTCTATGAGGATGATCTGAATTGGCGCATGACGTGGTTGTCAGATTCAGAACTTGAGCATATAAATGAAGCTACTGTATCTGCAAACATTAATGGGAATCATACACCTAATAATAAGACTTTGATTCAACAGAGTAGGACAGCGGGCCATATGTGATGTTGACAACAAGGTTTATGAAGTAGGCCATATATTCCTAATAATAAAATCAACATTGTAGGATTATGAAGTAAGGTGGCAACAAGGTTTCTTTGAACAAGTTAATCTTGAATAGAATATACAATATTTGTATAAGGAAACCCAGAAAAAAAAAATCTGTCTTGTCATTGCTGAAGAATAATGAATGACAATACTGGTGCTACCTTTTCTGGAGGTTATGTAAGGATTGGTTGGATTTGCCCAAACAGAACTATGAATTTTGATAGGAAAGCAAACTGTATTCTGCTGCCTTTGTGTCCATTATCAAACATTTTGATACTTTTCTTCTTTACTTGTTTACTATAATGAAAATGGGAAGCTAATATATGTTTTCCGTCTTGCTTCTTTGTTATAGATTGACATGCTTAATTATGGTTGGTCTTGCAGTGTGACCCATATTTTGATGACGTCGGTTGTGCTCATCCGGGCTGTGAACCCCTATATCCAACCCCACAATGCGAAAAGAAGTGCAAAGCCAAGAACCTTCTCTGGGACCAATCGAAGCATTTTGGTGTCAATGCCTATATGGTAAACTCGGATCCAAAGGATATCATGACAGAGGTCTACACAAATGGTCCTGCAGAAGTTGGCTTTACGGTTTATGAGGTGTGTCAGAGGCAAACTCATTTATGGATCATACAATCACTCAATTAGAGTCGTCCTAATCTTGATATTAGCATATACACTTTCTTTCAAATGCTTTCATCCTTCGCGTGTACTAGATATTTCTTTTACAAGCTAGCTTAGTCAATTTGCTAACATTTTTTCCGAAATGTTCTGCTTTGCTTAGGATTTTGCTCACTACAAATCAGGAGTCTACAAACATGTGACAGGTGTTGCAATCGGCGGCCATGCTGTAAAGTTAATCGGATGGGGAACCAGCGATGAGGGCGAGGACTACTGGGTCTGTTCATAATAAATTCTTCAGTTTCCGATATTTACAAGTCATTCCAAGACGTCTGATCTTTGTGTCTACTCTTTTGTGCAGCTTCTTGCAAACCAGTGGAACAGAAGCTGGGGTGACGTACGTACAAGTGTTAAATCATTGCATATACTGCATGAAGTATTGTTTGTTTGATGGACTTGTTCATTGTCTGGCATGTGTGCAGGATGGTTACTTCAAGATCACACGGGGTAGGAATGAATGTGGGATCGAAGAGGATGTTGTTGCTGGGATGCCCTCATCAAAGAACTTGGTCAGGTACTACGTGAACAGCGATTCAGAAGCCGATGCCAGTGCTTAATTTGAAGTGGCCCTGTATAGGACCGCCTATGTTGTTGTTACGTCAAACCTTAAAACTTGTTTGATGGCAAAATGCTAAACTTGTTAGATGCTTATGTTAGTACCCCTTGTTGACTTATCTTCATCCTCATCCGCTAAAGCCAGGATAAGCTTCTGGTTTGAAAAAATATCTCAGGACATTTCGACATGGACAGTATCTTCTTAGCATCTAGCATACTTTTCTTTTTCATTTCAGATAATAATCGACGGATGGGAGTATTTAGGTTAAGAAGGATGGGGAAATAATCTATTAGATTCTAATAGATCAGATGGATCAGGAACCGAAGAAAGGGCAGGGGGGTCAACAATAGATCAAAGTTGAATTTAGGATAATTTACCTGGATTATTTGCGCACAGCTTCTCATTTCGCTGTGAAGTTGGGGATTGTTTCTTCTTGGGACAAACAAATGACCTCAGAAGCAAGCACGCCCTGAAGAATACGCTAGGATAGCAGCAGCAAGCAGTTCTCGAGCGCTCTCACCGTTTATGCCTGTATGAGACAGCAAAGAGGCCAAGTTCATGCAGATGCCACCACAATAAACAGCAGTTGACGGAGCAAGAGAGTCCGTAAATGGCTCACAGATGTCAGCTCCGCGCTGGTGCCATATCAACAGTCTGATGATAGATGAAAGCAGCCTGACAAAACAATGAACACGGTAAGCGACAACCCGAGTGAATCACGTGACAAGAAACGATGAATTAATTTATTCGTAGCCTTCAAATACCTTTCTTTGTAGGAGGCAACACATACCTGAGCAACGAACACCTGGCACTACAAGAAACAAACAAGCTATTTTGATCTTTGGCTCATTATCTAAACTGAAAACATAAGAAAATTACACACGGACGTCCACATGACTCGATCTCGATCAACCAGCACCAAAGTGACGTGAATGAAAAAGATGTACATCACTCACGAACCCTGATTAGCTTTCGATCAAGAAGAGTTACAGCACTAGTTTGACTGAAGTAATCGGAGTCTGCATATTCCAGCTTTGCAATACATCGAAGCACAGTCCTGATCAAGACTTCCTCATTTGATAGCCCCCAAGTCTCAGCATTTGATCGATTAAGCACTAAAAAAAAATCACTGAAGATTATCTTTTACTTGAGTCATCAACTGCAGGAACCTTGGCAGGGTAATTTGAAAATTCAGTTGCAGCTAATATTGAAAAATCATATGGTTGTGCTGAAGCAGCAGCACTGTCTTTGAGCAATGAAGATTTGATCACTTCCAAGTCTGCTTGGTCTTGCGGTGTGGTTGACCTCACCGGGCTACTCGAACCTGATGTGGAGACACCAGACAACCGTGTATCATCTAACTTCCCTGCATACATGTGTTTGTTCTTTCTCACAGCATCCATCTCCTGCCCGGTTGGCACAAATGTCCGTGATCGATACTTTCTTGCTCGCTCATCACCCTCATTGTTGTTGTACAGTACATAATCATGATAAGTAGGGGCAAACTGTGTCAAGATACACACACCGAATAGAATATTAACAAAAGATTGCCTAATATACATATGCTACTTTGATTCAACACAAAATGAATTAATTTACAAGGCAAGTCACCTGATGAACCGTGTCATGGTAGAAATCATTGAACTTCAGAGCATGAAAAAGGCTTCCCCTTAAACCACCAGATGCACCAATGTTGGCGCCTGCATATTCCTTGTATGGAAATGCATACAGGTGGCCAACAGCTGCTGCAAGCATCTCAACACACAACACAAAGTTCTGAAGATCAGCAGCTTCTTCTGCATTCTTTATCAAGTTGGACTTGGCTGCGAGAAAAACCAACACACCCTGCATGAAAGGTAGGTAAAATGCTGTTGTCAAGAAGGAAGACCATATGACAAGCAAACATGTGTTGTCCACAAGTAGCCCTATATACTAAACCCTAAAGGTTCGTTCATTAATTATGCCAGAGAAAAGGCCAGCATTGCTATCCAAACAAATATGTTAGAGAATTTCAAACCAATCAAACAATAAACTTAGGTTAACACCAAGGTAAACCCCAAGTACCTGCCAATATGTGAGGAAGACGACAGATTTGATTATAATGAACTTTGGAACTGGGTTGAAAGGCTGGAGTAAATCTTTGCATGCTACATAGAACAAAGCAAGAGCATACAATGCCATGGAATATGATATAGTATAGATTATTGTGATGTAAAGATAGGCTTGGTCCACGCTGAAATTTCCATCTTCATATTTCCCTTTTGCATATAATATGAAGGTAATCACAACTAGAATAGGCTTCAGGATCACAAATTGCAAACCGCCTTGCTTGCACCTTCTTATAAAACGTCTGTAAACAACAAGTATGTTCAAGAATGAATAACTGAAGAAAATTGAATTCACTTGTGACAATTTTACACAAGTCTCACTTGCTATGTAGCGTAAACTTCAAAAATCATCAACAAGGAAAAAGAGTCTCAGAGAACGGACCCATCAAGAGGAATGGAAGGAAAACAGCACGTCATTAGGTACCATGATGGCTTCAGAGATCGTCCACTTAAACTCAAGACCACTGCACCTGGACCTCCCACCCAAGCCAAGCAGAGCGAAAGGAAGTTATAAATGACCCAAGCCTCATAGCTGAAACAGTTATGTATTATCAGAATAGCTGATGCACAAACTTGTAAAAACGGTTTTGGTCATCAAGTCCTATCTGTACTATAATGCCTTTGGGGGAAAAGTTTTTGCATCCAAGAATTTCAAGTCGAATATCAAAATAAGTAAGCACAATATATAAAATTATAACATTCCTTTTTTAATAACAAAAATCACGATGACCCCCTTTTTTTTTTTTTCTTGTACAGGACAATTTGACCTTAACAGAGTCGGAGACCACAAAAGGATACAATCTTGGTTTTATAGGAGGAAGCAGAACCGCAGGGAAAAGTATTATACAGCAGAAACAAGAAAAGAATCGAGAGTTATTAGATCTGTTCTTCAAAAATCAATCTCATCCACAAAGGAATGTGATTTTGTGATTCCAAGTAGAATCAGGAAATCAAAATAGTAGGCGAAGGGTAGAAGTAAAACTACCCAATGTACAGATCAGCAAAGTATGCCATAGAAGTATATGTTTGTTAGACCATAATAGATTGAGCATATAAAAGGAAACAAGGATGTTGTAGTCTTGTAGACAATGGCAGCTCACTGCTTACTCATGAAGTAACATATCTGAGCATCTTGCTCTTTCGCCCAGACCAAAAACTAAAACTTGCATTGATATAACTGCCAGTTCTAGGTTACCAAATATGTAACAGTGATATCTGTGATACATAATAATATTCTAAAAGCACAATGTAGGTTACAACAAACTGAATTAAGGAAGGCAGACTGAAAAGGGAATTGAAAACATATCCAAATAAACAGGAATCACAGATTCTTTTTATAGCACTCTGCAACTAAATTCAGCTGCAGGCTTGCAGAAAGACAAAAGCTGCTCATGGCCTATATCCTTCAAACCAAATATCGCATTCCAGTATTTTCATACACAACAAACTGGGTGAAAATAGACATGTTCAATTACATGAACTTCTAGAAGACATAACAAATATACGAGGGTCAATCTGCTTGAGAAACTTTGATAGATTTAATAAAAAGAAAATGAAATGTGGTATATAATTCAAATTTTGATTATTACGATGCTATCTATTAGCTTGAGAATGGTGATATTTCATATGACATTCATCTCAACCATGTAAGGGATTCTTTATGCTCGTAACAAATGATGACTTAAGATCAGCAAGAAGCAACCAAGCTCATAATTCGAACTCCATTTGCAACAGTCCAACAACCTCCCCACATAGAATTAGATTTGCAGCTATCAGTACCACCAAGCCAAAAAGGTTAAAAAGAGTTTATTTTCTTTCAAAACTTCCTCTTATTCTCTTCCTACAATTTCTGTACACAGATCAGCATCTTCAGTGCTAAAAGCTACAGTATCACTCCCAGTTTAACCATAAACTGCAGTTTCAATTGCCAAGTTAACTTCTTTTTCATTTCAATAGTTCATTGAAAGAACCTCACTCATGAGCTTTACACGAACTATCAATTTCCAAAAGTATGAGGTAAGGTTCAAAACTCCAGAAAAGGATAAGATGAAAAAGAAAAGATGTGTTCAGTTTTAAGGAAGAGACGCTACATCCTCCTCTTACTCTCCTGAATCCTTTTGCCATCACAACAAACTTTAACCACATAAGAAATCTCCAGTATTTCATTAAAACAAACCCACTCACTAGCTATACAGTAACTATCAAATTCCAAAAGTATGAGGTAAGATTCAAAACTCCAGAAAAAAAGGGATAAGCTGAAAAAGAAAAGATATATGTTCAGTTAGATGCTCCATCCTCCTCTTACTCTCCTAAATCCTTTTTCCATCACATCAAACTATACACACATAAAAACTCTCAAACAGTGACAACTTATAAACTTGATCATGCCTTGTGTCACGATCCAGCCCAAGGGATGTGATCCATTAATTTTCTTGAGCTCAAACCATTAACTTTGTTGAGTACAAACCATTAACTCGAAATGATTAAGCCAAGTAATAATAATACATTCATCAAACCCTTCCAAATTTTTATCTACTTCAGATATAAGACTAAATCAGGGTGTTACAATTCCCCCCTCCTTCACCTCTATCAAATCCTAGCATGATGCTTGTGAAGTCAAATCCAGTGGATAGCCCTTTCTTATTCGAGTCCATCACCATGTCCAATTATGCTCTCGTATCATTTGTCATTATCCAACCGATGAGATAACTGATCAATTAATTTTATTGAGTCCAAACAATTGATCCAAAATAATTAAGCCCAAGTTAATATTAGTACACCATTAGATTCTTCTAAATCTTTGTCCACTTCCGATGTGAACTAAATAAAGTGTTATAGATAGCTTACTCTTAGAGAAAAATATTTTCCCTCGATTCAGTCAAAAAGAAACTTAAGCTTTTCTTGGAGAAGAGAAGAAAATGAATAATTCTCATATATCTTCCTAGTTCCTACTTCCTACACAATCTCATGTAATTAGAGATAACATACATTGAAACATCAAGCACCTCAAAGAACCTCAAGTTGTTAAAAAGAGATTTGAACAGAGTATTAAGCTATATTAGTGGTAGACAGTTTTGGATAACTACTACATGCAAATACTGGTCTTCTCCATACATCCTATGAATTGGTGCATGCCACTGATATACGTTAAGACTAAGAATAAAACTGGAGTAACACTGCAGTGTTGACTATTCTTGATCAAGACATTTAGAATGACAATGATGACAAACATACTTACACTTCTCGAATAGAATTAAAATATATTGAACGATCATTAAGGACGAGAGACAAGAATGACATAAGTGCATAGACCTGCCAAAAAAAGGTATGAGCTGATCAGACAGATAATTATTGAATTAGTACAATCAATAGAATCCATATATTGGTACAATTACGCAATAATACATATATCAGAATCCATAACTCAGTGCACAGGATATCTCAATTCTCAAGCACCACCAAATGTCACCCAATTCTTTTTCATTTATCTTTTTTTTTTTAAGAAAGTTACTGAATCATGTCAGCTACCTTAATTCTCCAAAATTATTTTTGTCAATGTGTAGATGCATAATTTGAGGCACCTTTTATTCATTGGTCATGGCAATATGAACGAGGTACATAAGCCAAAATAGGGGAAAAAAGAAACTTATAACCCAGTGCATCATGATACAACATCATCATGCATATTTTCCAAATAAAGTAGCTTGCACAGGTTTCAATTGAAGCATGACTATTCAATTGTTATTCACTAATTATACATATCCATCAAACCCAGTTCCCGATTTCGTCCCAAAGGATCAGAAAGCTGTCCCTTACTAGTCATTTTGTCAGCAATTTACTGATTTTAAATGGTGGTTCTGCTCGTCTTTCATAAGAAGGTACATCATGATTTCTCAATTGCTATTAGTTCATGATAAATTTTGAGCTTTGATGCAGTTCGCAAGATTTCAGCAATGCTGTACCTTGCCTGCATAATTTCTGCAGAGGGTTCTGTCCATTCCAAAGTTGCACCCTCTTGTATGTTGTTGGCATGTGAGAACAGGGCATATATAATAGTGCATTCAAGTGGAAATTAAGTTCATGGTTCATAGGACAGATCCAGAGAAGGAATATAACATACACTCGGTTGCCTATACAGAAGCATGACATAAAATTAAATAATAAAGAAACCATATAACTACCATCTGTCTGAAAGATAATTAGCCTTGGCCATTTTCTTGCTCTACCGGGGAAAGATAAGAAAGCAAATAATATACCAAAGCCAAAAAAGTTTTAAAGAAGCTTCAATCTAGAGCAGGCAGATTTTCATATGCTTGAACTCATGCTGGTAGGTCTTTTAATTCTATATATAACATACACTGGTTACATTACAACCATGTAGTAACCCTTATGCTCAAGCAAAAAAAGAAGAGGAGCATGGTAGAGAGTAAGAAAGTAACAGCACATGCCAAATTTAAGTACTAGTTCTAAAGGTGCAGATCAGCCAAGAATGTTCCTAAGCTATGAAAACTCGACGCAGTTGGACTTGTGAAATTAGGCCACAAGATTTCATATCTCCATAATGGAATTATTAGAACGCAACTGGCCTATGTCAAGAAACCATCAATAACATCAACAACGACAACAACAGTATCAATAAATAAGGAACCAATCAAGCAAATAGCATACCGGCACCATGAAGATGATGCGAACTATGTAGCGCTGATAGGTAGGCTCCGTATAATTCAAGAGGTGCCTGTATATGTGAAGCACCGCCAGTGCTATGGCTCCCACCGTACATGGGAACGCGATGATGACAAATAGAATAGGCGCCATCCAAGAAAAGAAGAACCAAATCGAATTCCCGTCGTCCTCCAACCAGCGATCAGTCTAACGCTCAAGCGGATCGGTAACTAAAAGCCGCAGATCACAGTCACAACGAAATCTCACAGTCCCCGCGTGGCCGTTCCCATGGGACGGGGTCTGCGACCTCGGAGGGAAATCTTGAGGTCAATTGTGGGGAAATCAGCGGCGGAAGGGAGCCGAAACCAGATCTTGGATAAGGGGAACGAAAGCACTGGGAGCAAGTGATCGACAGACTCTGATCTAGGGTTAGGGTTGAAGGATTGGCGAAACGAAACTGGCAAAGGTGGCGGTCGTAGGGTTTCTTCTTCTTCGCCGTCCTTCTCCCTTCCTCACGGCGGGGGAGATACGACGGGATCAGCGGCAGGAGGATCCTCCCGCATGCGGAGGTATTGGCAAGGGGAGGAGGAGGAGGAGGGCGGAGGCGGAGGAGGAAGACGACGCCGCAGCGAAGGAATCGAAATCACACAACACCTCGTTACAATTTCCTCTTTCGAATTCAGGGAATGGTGATCATGGTTGAACTATAATAAAAGATAAAAGAAACTAATTACCTGTTACTATAATTAATTGTTTAGTATTTAGTTAATAATTTGTTAAAAGAGCATGATAACTGTGTTTATAATATTTATATTTTATGTAGAGGCATTGCAAAAGGTAATTATCTTATTGGGTCGGGTGGGAAATGAGACGGTGACGTCCGACCCGTTTTGAGGGTTATTCTTCGATCTCATATGATCGGATGATGAACCGCCGATCGGGCAATTTTTATTGGGTCGGATAGGAAAGGAGACGGCGACGAGCGATACCGTTTCAATTCCCGTCCGACCCGTTTTGTGAAGATTATGGTTCGATCTGGTGTGGTTTTGAGGATGTATCGCGGGTCGGATTCAGATTGACGTCGCCGTATCCGTTCCATCTCCTCCCTTTTGCGCTCACCTCTTGGTGGACAAGACAGAGCGGCACAGCGCCAAGAGCAGTCGTAGAAGAATGGAGGTGTCGTTGATGAGAAGCACTCGCTGCTCTTCCTTCTCGCCCTCTCCCACCTGGAAACCCCCGGTCTCCCTTCTTGCCCGCCCCGCTCTCCTCTCCTTGCGCTCCTCCTCGTTGTGTCCTCTCGGCCCTCTCTCCTCGTCCAGGGACCTCCTCTCCCGCCGGCATGGCGGGCGGAGGGTGACGGTCATGAGCATGGAGGCGGGAATCGGCGTGATGGGGACCAAGCTCGGCATGATGACCTACTTCGAGCCCGACGGCACCGTCGTCCCCGTCACCGTCGTCGGCTTCCGCGAGGGCAATATCGTCGCCCAGGTCAAGACCGCCGCTACCGATGGGTACGACGCTGTCCAGGTGGGCTACCGCCGCGTCCGTGACCGCAAGCTCACCAAGCCCGAGCTGGGCCACCTGGAGAAGGCCGGCGCCATCCCCATGCGCCACCTCCAGGAGTTTCGACTCCAGTCCGTTGACGGCTTCGAGCCCGGCCAGAGGCTCGTCGTCGAGGATATTTTCAAAGAGGGTGACCTCGTCGACGTCTCCGGCAATTCCATCGGCAAGGGGTTCCAAGGTATCGTCTTGTTGCTTTCTTAAAACCCTATTTACTCCGGGGTACAATCCGATCTGAGCTTTATATGCATCTGGTCGAGAAGGCATACATTCTCATCACCATACTAGACTTCAAACTGGATGCTTCATTTTGACTCCATCCACATTAGTTTTTATGCACAACATGAGTATCATGACCACAAAAATCATGTTGTGCCATCGGAATGACCTAAATCCTATTTAATTCTGATGCAACACCATAAGATTTAGAGTTGCCCTAGTGCAAGCTCAAACGCCACTTTTAAAATGCAGAACTGGATTGAGATATGCAATCATTTTTGGCTAAACGATTTTGTTTTCCAAGTTGATTTCAAGGACTTCTGTCTTGAGAGGAGCATCTAAATTAGCATTGCTCAAAATTGGTGACAATTGACAATCACACCAAGGTGGTAATTGTTTGGTAAGTTTGGAAGATCTTAGGTTCTTACAGTTATTTTGGATTCATTTTTTTCAAGAAATAGCTGGATTTTGGTTTGAAAATGTGTATTTGTTCAAGGAATGCTCTGGTATAAAGTTTAATCAAAAGTGCATTTTGTTGGTCTTCCATGCCAATGCACTTTGATGTAGGAACCATTTACCGGTACCACAATAATGGATCATTTGAGGTGTATTCTTAGATTTGGTTGGAATATAGGCATGCACAGGTTCAACCATTAAGGATCTAACTGAATCGACCTGATATGTTTTGTCGTTTGGGTCTTCTTCAGTCTCAATTTGACCCTAGGGTTTGTGTTGTGAAGTTGGTTTGAATGCGAACTGGTGTTTGAGTCTATGTTGGCTGTAATGTACCATGTTAATATGGCATTGGCAAGGAGAATTGAGCCATCAGGGGTGTGCAAACGATGTGCTTGCTTAGGATGTCGACTGGCATGATGTTGGGCTACCAAGTCCGGTTTGTATTTCTCTGGTTCTACATCATTGTTTTGCACTGATGTTTCATGTTGATATACTGTAATTTTATTGTCCATTCTTACACGTTTTATTGTAATACATAATGCTCTGCTTTGTATGAATTTCTACTCTGAGGACAATTAGGTATCATTTATCTTATTATTTGTTTTCCATCCGTATTATGGCAGATTAATTTGGCACGTGGATGACACATTTTATCTTTATTCTAGTTTACTTCATGAGTTCTTTTTTGGCTCTTCACCATATGCCTTTTTCTTGGACATCTGTATTATTTTTTATCTATAATCCTCAATCCGTAAACCAGATAATCATGTGTGAACTATCAAGTTATTGTGAAATATAATCTACTGAATTGAGTTCATCCCTGAATTTGCATCTAGACTGGTAGGTGCCAGGAAGAAACAGCCATCTAGACTATCTAATACTTCATGCATGAATTTAACTTGACATGTTTGAAGAAAGTGTATATTTGACTGCAAAAAATTCGGCCAGAAGATGAAGAGGATCCTTTTTCCTTGCAGGTGGAATCAAAAGGCACAACTTCCGTCGTGGACTGATGACTCATGGTTCCAAGAGTCACAGAGCCCTGGGTTCGATTGGTGCTGGTACTACTCCTGGACGTGTGTACAAGGGAAAGAAGATGCCCGGAAGGATGGGAGGAACCAAGACCAAAATCCGAAAGCTGAAGATTGTTAAAATAGACAGCGAATTGCGAGTGGTCATGATAAAAGGGGCTGTTCCTGGAAAGCCGGGCAACCTTCTCCGAATTACGCCTGCCAAGATTGTCGGGAAAAATATACCCAAGAACTAGCACCCATCTATCTTTATTGTGTCCAACTCACCTTTCGGAAATCTGGTTGCTTCCCTTTTTTTCATTAGTCTTCAGCAGTACCTATTAGCTTTCTTTATGGACTATGCTGTTGAACAGAGTCGTAACCATCGCAGCAGTTTTCCCGGAAACCTGGTTGTTTCTTCAACTTCGAGCTTTGTAATCCAACATGTAGTGTTACAACAAGTATGGAGATGGATGTTTCTGTATAATTGTGTGTATAAACCTGATAGCATGGAAGTTCAATTTGTGTATAATTTTGACTTTTGAGATATCATGCATCAATGATTATACTCTCTCTCTCTCTCTCTCTCTCTCTCTCTCTCTCTCTCTTCTCTCTCTCTTCTATCAGTGTTATACATAGTTAGAAGACATAGCACGTTGGATTTTTGCGTGTAGAACATTAACAATCTACCAAAAATGCTTACCTGATGCCACAGTTTCCTGCTTAAAGTTGATCCTTGTTTGTGACATGATCAAATTAGCACCAACCGTGCTGTCCTAAGTGTTTTCACCTCTCTCTGTTGCTCGAGTAGCCGTTGCGCCTCCCTCGAGGCCTTACCCAACTCCTCGTCTCCCGGCAGTTGCGCTTCGTGTCGTGCGAGCTTGTAATGAAGAATTGCCTTCTCCGCTTCTCCCAATCTGAAACGAGTTCATGCTGATGCTTTAAGTGGAAATATCTGAGGTAGGAGAAGAATGTCGTTGTGGAATTACCCGAGGTATAGTATGGCTAATCGTCGATGCGCCCTGCCGAAGCAAGGATCTATTCGCACTGCTTCTTTGCACTCGCCGACGGCCTCCAGGAATCGGCCCATGGCCATGAGGGGGGCTGCCTTGTTGCTCCCAAGACGATGCCTTGCCCTGGTCGATCAGAATGGCGCGATCATACAGTGCCACCGCCTCCGCGTATCTCCCCTACTTGTACTCCTCGTTGCCCATCTCCTTCAGCTCCTCTGGCTCCAACCACTTTGACAGAGCTAGGCAGCGTACCTCGGGTGTCGCGACCGAAGCTTGCTTGCCGTCGGAGGAGATCCCGCCTCTTTCCTTTGCGGTCTTGGGCAGGTAATCGAGCACGTTCCGGCTCGGAGTGACCGCCTCGGGAGCCCGGATGTTGCCCAGGTTCCCGAAGACCATGACGCCACCGGAAGACGTGCGGACGAGGGCGCTGGTGGTCGTGGATCACGCCGTCGAGCTGGCCCGGCCGGCGCACTCGACGGGCAGCATTGAGGTAGCCGGGGGCTACCGTCTTGGAATTCTGCGGCGCCGGCGCGGCGGGTGGAAGGGCCGCGCTCGTGGGCACCAAGAGGGACGCCTCGTCATCGGACGCTGCTCGCCGGCGCTTGGAGTCGGAGGGCGGCAGACTGGGGCTATCTACGACCGGGTGACGGGGGCTCGAGAACGGATTCCTTCGGCGAAAGATGCTGTTGTAAATGACGCGAAGGCCACAACCAGAGGCCGCCTTCCCGTCCGCCGCCATGCGCCGGTGCTTCCTCTTCCCTACGTCGCATTTGATGGAGGAAGAGACAAGACAAAGACGAGCCAAAGAGATGTCATCCACCCTCACCCTATCCCATTCTGCAGCTAACAAGAGGGAGGGAGAAGAAACACCATGGAGCCGGGGAGTTCGGAGTTGCACGTACAACAGGACAGGCGTGGAGTGTGATTGACAGACCAAAAAGAACACGTTCTTCCCCTTCCCTCCTCGAATTCTGACTGACTTTTGGAAGGCGAGGGAAGAAGCAGAGAAAGGAAGGAAGAAGAGAGCATAGAGAAGAAGAAGAAGAAGAAGAAGGGGGGAGGCGCTTTGGCGCGTGCGTGAGCGGAGGAAGCGGACGTGGGAGAGATACGGACCTGAAGAACGGGAGGAAGACACCGTAGGCGGATGCATGAAGACGTTTTACATTTCAATCCTTGGAAAGCTCGTAAATATCCTATCAGCCCATATATATATATATATATAGTTATTAAAAATATAATAATAAAAATAAGTAAATTATAATAAAAACCAAATCAAAAGGATAGTCATCTCCTGTTTTAGGGATGACAGTACACATTACAACACCTGCAACTAAATGGCTCCACAACCAGACTCTGATTCATGAGACTGTAGCAACTTGTTTTGCCCATGAATCAATGATCAATACCATGCAAGCTTCATGCAGGGAGTAGAGCCACACAGCAGTTCATTTTAAGATCAGATTCACCCATACAAATAAACTTCTCAAAGTCATTTCATTATTGCATACAGAAACATCAACCGGACGGGCTCGCATTAGTACCATGGATATCGGCAAAACCTAACTGAAGCAGAAGTTCATTAGCTCACTTGGTGGTGGACTGACATCGGACACAAACACTATGAGCCTATTCTTGGGATCATCAAACCAAAGTCCTTGTGCCCCTCGACTTCGGGGCAGAAGCAAGCTCCACGGAGACTATGAATCCTGACTTGCCAGCTTCCCTGAGATAACGCACATCGCCGTTCATGAGCCTGAGCAATTTCCTGCACACAAGAAGGCCGAGGCCCTCCTCGGACGGATCCTCGCTGGTTCCAAACATTTCAGAAAGAAGATCATCTGGCACTCCGCTTCCGGTATGTGTGATCCTGAAATAAATCAGCCAAGAAAGATTACAGCTGAGAATACAGGATTAATTATTGGAAAGAACAGAAAACGGCAAAGACCATGGAGCATTTCCCTTGATCGACTAACCCTGTGTTACTGGTGCACTAAAGCTCTTCTTTGGACCTGTCAACAACCAACTCAAATATAATCATTTTGTCTAACCCTAAATTGGCACAACTACCAAAGGTATATATAATAACAAATGCTTCATGTGCCGACTACCTAACACACGAGTTAGATCTTGACAGAAGAACCCAACTTCGAGCCCACACCCCTCTCACCAAGTGAGCACATTAACAAGTATGCCTGACACTGTTGAGTCAAAGTCACCATGAATCAGAAATTAGGAAGTGCCATATGTTGTTTATAACTCAGAGAAGCGAGATCTTTAGAATATAAAGTTTAAATTGTAAGTGCACACTCAAAAATAAGCTACCTAACAAAAACTCCTACAAACAACTCGCTGACCTGGACTGGTGCAATATCCTTAAGACATCAAACATTCCAGTCTCCAATCTCGAATCCCGATAACTCCAACTTAGACAAAACCGTAGTCCCCTAAAAACTTCCAATGGTAGGTGGATAAAATTGAACATCATTCTCCATCGTCTTTCAGCCTTGTAAAATTCAAACTCCAGTTAAAACCAAAGCACCAGCAAGTACAAGCTGACGTGACACAAAGACCACTTTTCAAATTGCCCTATACATATTTGTTTTAATACTAAAAATTCCTAGTCACAGCCTCATACTGAGAACAACCTGAAGTCACCACTGAAATACTTACTGAAAAACAAAGAACAAATATCAATAACCAACATAAACAGAGAATAAGAAAGAATGCAACCTATATAAGAATTTCAAAGCACTAGCCAATATAAGAACAAGATATATTACTACAAAGATGAAGGAATTTGTAGTAATGGATATTTGAAATCCTCAAACATTGTTAATAATCAACAATTATGGCCAAACTGTAATATCCCGATTTAGTCTCACATTAGAAGTGGACGACGACTTGGATTAGCTTGGTTTGATGTACTACACTATTGTTAACTTACATCATACTTGCATCCATCCGACCATAAGTCAATCCAAGTTTTCGTTCACTTTCAATGTGAGATTAAATTGGGATATTACACAGATACTGAGGGCGGGATGATTATCAAACAATAAACATATGAACTAAAATTGGAAATACAACAATTTGACTCCCAAATACTCACACAAAGTGGATCATTATCACTAGAATCTACGATGCTGGAAATGTAAGTATTTCACTACAGCCATACTATCATTGAGAACTAAAGGGGATTATTTTATACATTACTTGCATACTCGTATTTATGTTAAAATTTATCAGCATTTTAAGATGTTGTGATAGGTCCTAGCCTCATGATGAGAAAATATTATATAAAGATCAACTTTATTAGAGGAAGACAACGCTGGTTAGCAGGAAATACAAGCAACCAAGAATAAACAAGCAGCATAAATATTTGCAATCTGCTGAACTACTACTTAGCACATATGAGCATCTTTAATAGAACTAGTTTTGTATTGACGACAGCAATTACCATTAAAGAAAGAAACTGTTCTAGAACCAGTTACAGGCCGTTGAATCTATCATACCTCAGTTCAAGGTGTAAAACATGGAGAGATTTTCCCAGTTGATCCTTGATAAGGCTAGCAGCAATTTCAACCAGACCTCCAGAAGGAGAGGATTTCACAGACACAAGCAAGAAACCAGCAAGGATCTGTTGAAGCCTAAGACTGTCACCAAAAACACCTTCATTCATGAACCCATCAGACAGATCATAGACTATTCTGACTCCCTTTGACTGGCTGGCAAGCATGACTTGACTTACTGCAGTAACCACCAAATCATGCAGCACAAACTCGACCATTTCCAGATCTAACCAGCTAAATGAAACATATAAAAAGGATGAATTAACATCAGTAAAAAAATTGTAGATATAGTACAAAAGAAAACTAGGCCGAACTAGCACTATGCAGGACCCTCCATCCATGCCAAATCTACATGACTCTTATGCATAAAGATTAAATTCATAAATAGATAATAAAAATTTCTGATGGGGTCACATGGCCAATTATGGAACATGTTGACATGACCACAAAGACAAGATTTTTAGGACACTAATAAATGACTTGATTGGGGAGAACAAATCTGTATAATCTAATAAATACCATGATGAGATTTACCTGTCCATAATGTTCTCTAAATCCAAGTCATCAAGAATCCTATTTAACTGGCGATGACATTTTGCCCCAGTATTAAGGAGCTGTCTCTGTTCATCACACAAGTCAGTTCCTTCCAGCATCTTTCTTGAATGCATTATACCTGAAAGGGGATTCCTAATTTCATGTCTTATATAACCCAAAGCCTTCAACCTCTTCATCACACTCTGCTCAGAGATTTGCTTCACCTGGAGCACATGTTGCAGCTCATGACTAGCAGTATGAAGAAAGCAAAAGACTCCTGTGACCATACCATCCTCGCCCACTTTCTTGCTTACTGACAATAGGCACTCCACAAGTTTACCATTCCGATTGATAAAACTAAAAGGAGCCTTCTCAGTTTCTTGCCCTGTCATTGCATTGTTAACTAAGATGCTGAGAATTACATATGTGTCTTGGTTCTTCATGCGGCAGCAGGCTACATGACTCCCGAAAACCTCCCCCAAAAGCATCTTGTCTATCACCTCATCTCTCTGCCACCCAGATAACTTAGTCATAGCTGCATTCCACTCCGAACACCATCCAAATTCATCTGCACCAAATATTGGAGGTATAAGCGGACTGGGGTTATGGACAATGGCTTTATAGTCTCCTTCAATCCGGGTAAATTTGTCCAACACCATCTTATGACCAGTCATATCTTGAGCCACAAAACAAACACCAACTACATGATCATTGATGTCACGACTTGCACAAGCATTAACGATCAATATGACAGGACCATCATCACTCCGAGGACCATAAGTTTTCATTTGAAACTGCACATTTTGCTCCTCTTTTCCTGATCAAATACAAAAATAAAAATAAGAGTAGCCTATTAAAAAGAAATAAATAGATATAATGACTGAGATGTGAGAAATATTATGCTGTAAACCATAAGGGCTGTGATCCAATACAATATGGTATGGGGCCTATGGGAAAATTGAAAACCAAGAAATATGAGGAGGAGAAACAGAAGGAGCATTTACCCTGTAATGCCAAGTGAAGCATCTCCCTGACAGCATCTGCTGAACATTCTTCCACGAGGCTAAGCAAATGTTTCCCTATTGCTTGGTCAACTGATAGACCAGTCAATTCAGCAATTTTAAGATTCCATCCATTTATGATGCCATCAACATCCACAGCTAAAATTGGCACAGTCGCCGTCTCTATTAGGCGGACCATTTCATTTGTTACCGCCTGCAGTTCTACCAACCCTTCAAGTTTAAGGTCATTGATCCTGGAGTCCAATGTGTCCTTTTTGCTCGCACTGTCATTTTCATTCAGGGATCCCCTTAGTATAAGTTGTAGCGAGTGAATGGCATCCATCTCATAGTCATTCCAAGGCAAGCTTTTCATCTTCACGACTTCAAGGAAAGCCTTGAATGAAGATCTTGGGTGCATTCTGCTACCGTCATCCTTGTCTGAAGGATCATGCTTTGCACCTCCCCATCTAACTTCATCAGCAGTATGAGATCTGAACCAAAAGAGGACATCCCTGGACGTTATTCTGGCAGCAGCCATTCCACAAACTGAATCGCCAAGAGCTGACGCACCTGGATATCCAGCATCCATTAGACTATCAGTACTTAAGCCTGTCGAATCCATGTGATAGTCTGTTAGCCAGTAGGCAATGTCCCGTATCTGTGGCTCAGTTGGAGCTAAACCGAGTCGCCACACCTTGTTCTGGTAAAGAAGTGCAGCACCACCACATTTTACTAGATCCATGATATTGGGACTCTGAGTTACAATGCCTATAGGAGAAGTTTCTTTGAGAAGCATATCACACAGGAGAGTCTGGGTCCGCAAGATGTTCTTCTCACGTATCTGGTTCTCTAATTCAATCTCCTTGCTGACATGTATCGCAAACACTTGCATTAAGAACTCACATGCATATCTTAAGGGGAAAGGGACAAACCTTGGGGTCTCGTTGTGGCATACAACAAGCCCCCAAAGCCTCTTCCTCTTCTGCCGCTGTGGTTGTTGCCCTGCCTCTGTGTCATCATCCTCGTCACCTTCATTTACCACCACAGCCATAACTAGTGAAGCAATCGAATTCATGTTCTCCATATACTGCAAGTGACAACTATGTGGTGCTCGGAGGGTAGATCCACAGAAGGTGATGTCAAAGGGAAGCTTGTCGTCTTGGTATATCTTGATGGACTTGGCACGACAATCACAGATCATTCGAACCTTGTTTTTCATAAAGAGGAACCTGGCAGCCTGGGGAATGTCTGTCGCCGGATAATGTAGCCCCAGATAAGGATCCAGGCCTGGCTTTGTGATCTCTGCGAACACCTCACCATGATCATCCTCATGGAACTTGTAAACCATGACCCTGTCGTAGCCAGTGAGCTCAAAGACTTCATCTATCACTGTATTACACAGCCGCTGAATGCTGCCACCAGGCAGGGATTGAAGCTTAGCTATAGCCTTGGCAGCGAGTTTGTAAGACTGCAGAGCACCAGCGGCAGTCATGGGCACCTCACTAGGTTTCACGGGTTCGAAGTCTACGATCAAACAACCAGTCACACGGTGCACAATCGCATAGAAGGGCTTACCGGAGGTCTTGCAGTGGACTAGGATGGGATTGAGCAGAGACACCTCGGCGAAGCCAAGAGCCTTCTGCAGCGCCGCCGTGCTAGGAGAAGTGAAGAGAGACCTGACGTCGGTGCCGATTCCGAGCACGGGGTGGTCGCCCACGCTGGGAACCGCATGGCTCACCATGGTGAGCATCTCCGGGGCGTTCTCGCTGTAGGCGATGACTTTGAACGACTTCTCGTCGAGGGCTAACAAGCAGCCGAAGGACTGGATGAACTTCCCCTTCTGGATGTGCTGCAGGTAGGCCGTGACCTTCTCCGACCTCCTCTGGTCCCCGGAGGGCGCCCGGAGCGCGTAAACCGATTGCAAGTAGTCGAAGGACTCGCCGAACTCCTCGAAGTCGGCATCAAGCTTGGCGTCCACGGTTGTCTGAGCCACTATCCGGGCGCTGTGCCGGCTTCTGCTGGAGCTGGTGGAAGACTGCGTGGGCCTGGACGACGACATCTTCTTCAGAGCTCGCACCAAGGAAGCCGAAGCCCGTCGGGAAAGGCGACGCCTTTCTTATCGCGTACTAAGATTGCGAGTGCGGCCACGCCTTTCTTATCAACAAGGAGATGTTTTGTGCATCGCTAAGAACAACGCCAGAAGAATCTCCAAACTGGGGATTTACTTTTTCACTGCAAGGGACAGAGACAAACCCAAGCATCATCCAGGAGAAGCGGAGTAAAAAGACCAGACGTCTTACGACTGCTGCCGAACTGAAGCTGGAGACACAGCAGCAAGCATGAAGCTCACCGATCAAGATTTCTGCCAGTAAGGTCGAAGTATGGAGCTAAATTTTTTTCTTGCAGAGCAGCAGCAGGTCCTCGCTACGACCAACTTTCTTCTTCCTTCAGCTTCGACACAGAGCGACAGGAGAGGATGCAAAAAGGTTAGCAACTTTCAGTGAGTCACGCGGAAAAACTTGGGCAAGAAATATCCCCTCCCACGAAAAGGTTTGAAGGAGTTGATGATCTAAAGGAAGAAGAAGATGAGAAGAACCCCCGGTTTACCCTCGAGAAAACCCCTCGAGTGCTCCCAATCTCGGTAATTCCTCCACGCCTCTGAGGAATCGCGAGGATTCTCGCGAACGGCACCCGAATTCTAAATCCAAAATCCTCACGCATTCCAGGGAGCAGAGCACAGGGTAGTCAAAAACCGGAAACCAGCGAAACCGATAAACCAGGGAGCGGACGGGGCAGATCAAGTGCAAGTGCGTGCGGGCGTGGACGCGACGAGAGGGGAGCGAGCACCCATTTGGCCTCTACTTTTCGGGGTTGGAAGAGGACCAAAAGTCACGTCCACGGTCATGAGCCGCAGCCCGCGGAAGGGGCGGCGCGCACCCGACCAATTGCCTCGCCCGGCCGGGGTTCACCAAGAGTCTCCAACCGGACTCGTTGTGCTCGAAAGCCGGGCGCCGCGCTGCACCTCTACTCCCTCCCTCACTGTCGTCGCAGTCACGGATGCGGCCAAACCCAGCAATCTATTCGAGGATTGAAAGAGGAAAGAATAGGGGGACGAATCCAAGCGCGGATATAAGGATACAATATCTCAGCGACGAGTTCACGTCAGTCACGTTAAACCAATATGACATTTTCCAGCATCATTACATGCGTATCCATCCATGTCAGTGTATAACAAACACTGTACATGCGTACCAATATGACATTTTTTTTTCTTTTTTTGAATGATATCCCTTTTTAAATTCTCAAAAATACTCATTAAAAATATTTTTATTCAAATCTAAAAAAATCCGTTAACTATTTATAATGTTATATGGATTTTTTTTTTTTCCTCACAAAATATTATATATAATATTAAAATAGTTACATTATAAACAGTTTTTTAAGAAGGAATATTAGAAATTGTGATCATAATTTGTGAATTTAAAAAAAAAAAAGACTATTTATATTTATTTTTTTTAATTAATAAAAAATATTTCTATATTGACAAGAATATATTGCAGTAAGGAAAAAATGTGCGTTCCACTAACTAAAGACGCCTGCCTCGCTCGCTGTAACGCACCCGAATTATTGACCAGGTCGACGTCTGGTGTTCCTGTCATCTCCCAGGTGTTGAGGCACAGACGACGCGGGCCCACGTGTCGGGAGGTTTGGGTAACGCAGCAACGAGTAGAAATAGGATAACAAGCCTAGGAAGGATGACAGCGGATATAACGGGTCGGATCCTTTGAGGTGTTGATATCGATCCAACCCAACCGAATCGTTGCCAGGTCGGATGCCTCCTTGTCCTCTCTCCCTTCCAAGTGTTAACCCAAAGACCACGCGGGTCCCTCTTCTCGCAGCTGTGGAAGGCGGGGGCAACGGGTAGGAATAAGGTGACGGGGTTTAACAAGGGTAGTAGTAGCCGACTTAACGGACCGGACTTTTTGGACGCTGAATCTACTCGACCCGGTAAATGATGATTAGGGTTGTTGTCGTTAGCGGAGGCAGTTCGTCATGGATGAGGCAAAGTGACAGCTGTCACGCATATCCTGTTAGTGTGCGTGTTCCGATCTTTTCGTCAAGTGGTAACCAATGTCGCGACTTGAAACCGACATACTCAAGTGATCCCACGTCGAAGTGCAGACACGATGCTGCGATCTACATCCTCGTTGCTTTAGGGATCGTGCAGGCATGTGATGACCCTTCATCCGGAGTTTTTTTAGTGCAAACGCACGAATCATAAAGCGAGGGTCGAAGACATCGGATTCTCTAGGCCCCCCAAGGAGGGAATCTTGTGGCGAAGACGCCTGTAGCCAGTGGATCCCGGAACCAGAAGCTCATCTTGGACGTGCTCCGCCGTGCGAACAGTGGACAGGAATGCTGACGTGGCACGATCGTGTACTGGTTGACTTCGAGGGGGTGCCATCCAAGTACCGACGGCCATGGCAGCAGCACGCTCCTGTGCTTCTCGGTGCGCGAGAGAGAGAGACAGAGGACCAGTGGGAGTTCACGTGGGCACCAGGCGCCATGCCAGGCTTCCCATTCCCAATTAATATTGCGGAGCACTGGTCGGCAACAGTGGCACATGGTTCCCATCATCGTCCCCACCCACCATCCTTTCTCTCCCCCCTTTCTTTGTCCTCTTTGGGGGTGGGGCAAATCCCGATCGACCACCTCCGTTAACTCTCTCGGTTGGTCCTGCGCAGGTAGATCGGAAAAAGAAACAAAACAATCAATGCTCTTCGTTTTCCTAATGATCTCTGCACTGCGGCGAAACAGAGGAGAGTGGGCGGCATGTGGAAGGGGCGAGCGGGCGGATACGAGGATCGGGTGGCGTGATCACCCCCCCGTCTTCCTCCATCATCTCCTGGGAATCCCTCCACAGGCTTCCGCGGCGTTTAAGGAAGGCTGCCCCAACCATGGCTTTCCTCTTCCGTGCTCGATGGGCAACATCGAGGCTCTTCGGACAGGTACCAAGGCCGGTTCACATGTCCCCTGTAGCACCAAGTACTCTCAAAGTGGCCTCCCCATTTGCTCCGTGTTCATCTCCTAGGTTTACTTCGTAAAGTACTCCTGTGTTTGGTTGCATGTGTCTACGTCTATTCCGTTATATTCTCTCTCATACTACCAGCAAAATCTATTTACCATGGATTCAATAGTTCATCCACCAAGTGAGAAAAGTGTTCTTTAAATGTGAACTGCATGTGTTGACACAAATAAAAATCAATGTAGTACATGACACAAGTTTGGGCTTGGATTGGCAGAAGCAGGAATCCGAGCAGTACAAGTCTGTTTCCGGATGCAGTTGGGGTTTAATTGTTTACAATCTATTCCAAGGCAAAAAGGGCCGACATAACATAGTGCAGCATCTGTTGAACAGATGCTGATCCAAATCTCTTCCTCATATCTTTTCGCCTAATCCTTGGATTTGATCTCCAGTTCAAAGGTACAAAGCTTTTGCTAGTGCAGCAACATGGAGCCAACAAGTAAAAGCAAGCATCTATCTATTGGACGTGAATGAACTTACATAAAGATGCGAGTGAATAGTTCATTTTGTCCATTTATCTTGGACCGGTATAGCCTTCGATCTAATATCAAATTAGTTACTTGAGTCAGCTGCATGTTTCGAATAGGAGTAATGTTATTGAGTGGTGTTAAGGTAACTAATATCCTACTCGGCGTCATTCCTAAGTCTATTTTGAGAGATAGGGGACCAAACACCACATTGATCAATTGATTTCTAGTTTGGTATTGGTAAATTGGAATCATGATAAGTCCACATGCTAATCGCTACTGATGTGATATGATGACGAGATTAACATCAATTTGCTATATGGTCAACACCACCTTGATGCCACATGATCAATACATTATCGTCATGTGGTTGATAGCCTATCACCATGTTATTGACACCTCGACATCTCATATCCACGGCCTGTGCACGTTCTCTAGATTGGATGCAATGCGATCCCACTTAAGATTGGACTAGGAAAAACATGGTTTTGAAACCTCACTACAAAAGGTTGGTCAGGTGTAGTCCTCAACCCTCTGAAAAGACTCGTTCTAATGCATTCGGCTCTGAAGGACTTAAATTCTAATACATTCATCTTAGAAAGACTTGACACTTTGTGGACCCCTCATAATCAAGACTACCTGAAACATCAAAAGAGGCTTTGTCGGGCACAATTAGCTTCACAAGGTTTAGTGCATTATGAATCAATTGGGTTTGACACTTTCAAATGCCAATCTAACAAGTATAGAATTGGAACTCAATTAGCTCCAAATCGATATCCTAATCAAACAACCATAATATACATTAACAACCTCAACTCTCCCATTGAGGTTACTGATAAGTATATTTAGTTCACATTAATTAAGGAGTAAGAAAATAAAGACCTTATAAATGCCGAAGTCATCCTCTAAAGGCCCATATTGGAGCTCATCCCGAAAGAGCAAAACTATGCAACTCACCCAAAGCGAGCAATTTCTCGCAAGCCCTCCTTACTTACACCAATGATGACACATGATGACTTATCAACTAACACTGGAAGAAGAGCCTAAACCTCCAACTTCGTGGTTAGGCCCTGAGGCTTGAACTTCTAAGGCAAATTCTCCCCTATTCTCAAATGACACGTTTACAAAGCAAGGTACATTGCAACCTTCTTCCTATGCTTCTCGATGGCTGAAGACGTTGATGCAAAGATCCATGTCTACAATGCATCAAACAAGCTTAATGCCAAATCAAAGAAGTGAAGATAAAAGAAAAAAGAAATACGTCACCTACCCCGAGACATAAGGTTGAGATCCAGATCCTCAAGCCACTGCTAGCTCACCTAGAGGATGGTGATAGCCTCGTATAAGGCTCGAGCAACATGGCGAAGTTTATCTTTCTATGACCCATGCAACTTCATTGATAGGCCACCCCTCAAGGAAACAAAAAATTACATTCTCTTCTAACCCTTCAAAATGTCAGAGCCCATTTGACTTTGTAGCCAAATCAGGCAAAGATAAAGTAAGTTAAACCTATGAAACAAACGTTACGAGACATAAGCAATAGGGTCAATGTCTGAGTGATATCAAGTCTTCAGCATTCGCAGTCAAAAAATGCAATATATACTAGGAGTTCAAGTGCATTCCCCAATCATATAAAGACTTCAATTCTAATATATTCAACTAAAAGACTTATGCTTAGCTAACACCTCACAATCCATTGAAAGGAATTTTATCGAGCATACCCCCACAACAATCTTATAAGGTTCAACACATTGTGAATCGAATGGGCATGACATTTACTAACACCCGTATGAGAAGAACCTCGATTGGTTCTAAATTAACATCCTAATCAAAAAATCAAAATATTAATGCATCTATTCTTAAAGTTCACAAGCTATCCGTTCATTGGTTAACCCTCACAGGATGGGACCCATCACGAGTGTGAGCCAAGCTAATCGTTCATTAATTTAACTCTCACAAACATGATAAGATGGGACACCACAAGCATGAGCCATGCAGAAATTCAGTTAACCCTAAAGTTAGATAAGCAAAGAATAAATAAGACCACTGATATGTACAAAAGGAAAAGTGAGAAGAAGTTTGAACCAGCAGAATGGTTCTTACCTGCTCAGTCGACAGGTTCCAATGTTTTGAGTGCTGATATTGCTTTCCAATCATTTCTTCTTTGCACCTCCAGATTTAGACTTGTAGTTTGTAGATGTTCCTTTTGCTACTTCTTCAATCTCCAATCTTTTAAGCATCTTTGCAACATAAAAAATAGTCACCTCAACCAACTCGACACCAAATCCAGGACACGTAGTCATCTGAAAATACCACCGTACAAATAAATACTTTCGAATTAAATGGAGTTATTCTCTTGGCACTTCTTCTGCACCAGAGACATCTGATCCAAAATTTGAAATCTCAGATGTAAAAGTTCAATGGTGATGTCCTGGCTATTGCACTTCATGCAACATGAGATTAGCAAGACAATCTCCTGCTGGAAAATAGAAAGGACATATGGGATGCAGTCACATAAACCTACTCCAAGAAGTGTGCTGCTAACCAATAATATGAATTGAAGAGGCAGATTGTCCACTAAATAAGGTAACTAACCAGTTACCAACTACTATGTTATTCTGAAGGGACTTTGGTTAGGACTAGATCTCTGTCTGGGTATCAAAATGAAATAAAGAAGCTTAAAGATATGATTGAATGAACATGAATTTTTAATTTTCTGGTTGAGCCTTAATCCCAAGTTTAATGAAGATTGTGAAAGAGTCCTGGGCAGAGGCCTTCTCCCATCTATTAAAGAAATATTTTTCTTAGTTCGTGAAGAAGAAGGTAGGAAGTTAAGCTCGTCTGTATAAGAATTCAATCTGAGAAAACTTAACCTTGGCAATCTCAAAATTTTTTTTGCATGCTACAAGGAAACCATCCATGGACGAAAAAAGAAAATTGTGACATGACTATTGCTCAAAACCAAGATATACTCAAGATATGTGTTGGAAACTCTATGGTAAGCTTGAGCAAAGGAAATACTATAACATTCTAAGTTTAATTCCACATAAGAATACATAAAATTATGAATTGATTTATAAGAATCAGATAAGTGTATTACTATTATATTGGGCTTAAGCATTTTGGGTCAGTGACTCAATTTCAATAGATATGTAAAGTTATCTCAGTGAATCTAATCATGAAAATTGATATCAAATCCGACCTAATACTGGATAGGTAAAATACTCGAATAGGAAAATCCTACCCGTGAATAGAACTAAAGGGCACGTCATAACGCAGAGCCACCATAATATTGGGCCTCACATGCACTTTGATTCTGGACCTGTTATATCCATGACAAGAACGTCAAACCTTAATGTGGGGAATCAATTACAATCCTAATATATTAGGAAAATAACTATATATAATTCTTAGGCAACTATCCTATTTAAATTAGAAATACCACTATTTAGGAAGATAACTATAAAGGAATACAACTGTATTCTAATTAGGAATAGAGTCATATAAAGATACAACTTCTATATTCAAAGAATACAATTGCCATAGGAATATAGCTTCCATATTCAACATTTACAACTTCCATATCTGTGTGATTCTCTAACACTCCCCCTCAAATAGTTGCAAATGTTTTGTAATCCAAGCTTGTGAACTAATGTAGCTAAAAGTACTACTTAAAAGATCAAAATAAGTAATCCTATGTTGTTGTGTTGTGACAATGAAGTAATAGAAATATTGGCCGCAACTCTAATTCATCATGATAAAACCAAATAGGTGGAAATAAAATGACATTTCATTAAAGAAAAGTTGAACGGTAGACAAATTTGCATGCCTTGAAATTCATCCACAAAATCGATAGTTGTTGCTTTGATAAAAACTTTACTAGATCCAATATTCTATAAATAACATGACAAGTTTGGATTGCAAAACATATTTACAACTACTTGAGGGGGAGTGATAGAGAATAATAGATACGGATGATTGAATTCTGAATGTGGAAGTTATATTCACGTGGGTGTTGTATTCCTAGAATATTCAAACCCAATATGTTTGTATTCCTAAGTAGAATATTGTTGTATTCCTATAGTCATCTTCCTGAATGATCCATGGGGAGATTGTAGCATCCCCAAGAACCACAAGTAGAAGCCTATATAGACTCAAATTACACTAGATCTATTGAAGATAGAAGATCAACTTCCAATTACTATATATTTTTAGGACGAAATCTGGTCACTTGAGGAGCAAGACGCAACCAATGGTGGCCCAATCAAGTGCAAAGCTGAATTTAGGACCATGGAAATAAGGATTTATGAACTAATTTAGCTAAAGATAATAGTAATGACTTTGAAGATCAAAGGAAGTAATTTTATGTTGTTGTTGTGTTGTGACAATAGAACTATATTAAGTATCATTGGTTCACGACAATAAAACCAAACATGTGGAAATAAAATAGCATTTCAACAAAGAGAATTTGGATGGGGACAAATTTGCATTCCTTGTAATTCATCCATATAACAGTTGGTTGATGCTTTGACGAAAACTTTATCAGATCCAATGTTTGATAAATTACTTAACAGGCATGGATTGCAAAATATATTTACAACTGCATAACGGAGAGTGTTGGAGAATCACATAGATATCGAAGTTGTAATTCTTGAATACAAAAGCTATATTCCTACAAGAGTAACCGCATAAGGGAGAGTGTTGGAGAATCACATGGATATCGAACTCGTAATTCTTGAATATGAAAGCTATATTCCTACGAGAGTTGTATTCCTATAATATGAAAGTTGTTTTCCTCCAATATGGAAGTTGTATCCCTATATGAATGTATTCCTAATCAGAATATAGTTGTATTTCTATATAGTTATATTCCTAAATAGTCATATTCCTAATTTAAATTGGATAGTTAGGATTTACATGTATAGTTGTATTCCTAATATATTAGGACTCTAATAGGTTAATTGTATCTTACCTTTCATCCTTATTCTAAATTTGCAAGCTCATTCATGATGAAGTAACGAATCAAATTACTTATTCTACATAATATGTATGCATATTCCAAGGTTTGCGATTTTGTTGGACAGGTATGCATGGGCTGATATTTATTGGTCAAGATGCTAACTAGTATGTGGACCACTCCAATGTCAAGCGGTTAGATTTGGTGTGTTAAAAAAGAAATAATTTCTGGGCTCGAATCCCACCTTCGCCATTTACTATTTGTAAATAAAATAAAATATTATATTATAATAATAATACTGATGATGTTAGGGCTCGCAGAGGAAGTCGCGAGCCCATTATCCTCTTCTCACGAGGACACCATCGTCGATCCTCCTCTTCTTATAGTTTGTGTGCAAACCACCCAATTTCAAGGGGTCCAATCTAGTGCACTAAAATATTAACAATGTTAGGTATCGCGAAGGATGTCACAAGCCCGCCACCCTCCTCTTTTACAAGGCCACAGTTGTCGATCTTCTTCTTTTCTCCTCCTCTTCATCTTGTTCTTCTTCTTTCTCTTCCTTCTCCACGACCTCTTTTTACTTCTTCCTCCCTCTCCCTCCCCCAACTTATCGACATACTGAGTGTCGATACACCGATATCAACAGAATGTACCAATCACAATGTCTGATACGAAATTGCAAACCTGGTATATGCTATCTGATTTTACCTTGATATGATGAAGCATTGGAGAAACATTCTGCCTGATGAGGATGCTAGAAATTTAAATGGGATGTCAGAATTTTAAATGGAGATTATGACATCTTAATAATTAGGGGAAATTGTAACATTGCAATGACATCGAATTACGAAAAACAAAATAGAAAAGTAATGACTTAGATGTTCTATTACTAACAACTCGGCAAAAGCCTACTTCACCGATCTATGTTCCTTAGGTCATAAGAAACTTGGCAAGAGTCCTCAATATGCTAGCTAATGGAAACACCTTTAGTGTGTAGGTTACATTTTCATCCAAGCTCTCTAAGTTAATGGATAAGGACCATAATGTGGTAGCAAATCTGAAAGTGTATTTTAATTAATTATGAAGAAAACAAACTTTGTTTTGTCAATTGATTGCTTGTGTCATATCAACAAACTAAAAATACTACCATAAACTCGAAAATCATCTTGATAAAATATATAAATAAAAGCTAAAAAAAGGGGCATATAGAACAAATAAGAATGCTCAATAGAAACATAAAAAACTATGTGAAGGAAAGACAATTTCACATAGGGTTCGCCTTACCGATCCATACTGATGTACCAATCACCATCAATATGGCATGTACCAATCCATACCAACATACCATGTGTCGGTATGATGACACGTACTGACAGTACGAAAAAATTGGTCGACGCAAGCTCTAAAAATTCCTGAAAAATAAAAAAAAATTAGATTAGAACTTTTAAGTTGAAAATAAATATAAATTTAGTATAATTTTAACAAAATAATCTAGATTTGGAAAGAATAATGCCACATCTTTTTTAAGCTTTGAGAAGTAGCTTTGTGGTATGTTCCGAACCGTCCTTCTATTGATATTGAATTATTTAAAAAGAAATGATTTGAATTGTTAGATTATTTTTTAAACAACTTAAACTTTAAAATTCAAATGAATCAAGTAATCAATCGATAGATATACCCAATTATATCACAAAAAAGAATGACGAAACTCCACAAGCGATAAATCGAGGTCCTCGATCCTATGTATCTATATATTAGTTTGATATGTTTGTTGGACACAATCTTGAAATTGATCCCATAACATAGTATATTGATACACCGTATGTCATTGATACATTAATGTGGTGATGGTTGTAGTCTAATCGTCATGAACTACACATGTCCGAGGTAACTCCTAAGGCAAGTATGATTGTGGCATGTATTAGTGAGAAGCATGAAGAACGTCAGAACTTCTACTTTCACCACTGATCTGCTGCTCTATGTCATAAGATCGATCATCATACTATTGCTCAAAGAAGAATGTGATAGAAAGAATAGAAGATAAGAGAATAGAAGATAAGAAGAGTTATTAAAGAAGCTTTAGCTTGAATGCATTAACATGTCCCTCTCCTATTTATACAGATTAGGAGGGAGGATTTCCCTCAACAGAATAGAAAGATTTCCTCATGTAGTTAGGGAAATCTTATCTGCTATCATGCACCCTCAAGATGGTGCTCCTGTCAAGGATACCAATCTTGGATCGATGCAAAGCAAACAGTTTACGAGTCAAATGCTTCGTGAGTAGGGCAAGAGCAAATCGCTGGTGCTGCTGTTGCTATTGCTGCGGCTACAACGGCGACGGCGGCGACTGCAACGGCGACAACAACGACTGCAGCAGAGGAGAAACTGTAGCAACAGAGAAAGCTATAGCAATACTGTAGCAGAGGAAGAAGAAGCAGAGGACAACAGCTTGGGAGAAGAGCATATCACTGCTACTGCAGCTGCTGTGGCTAGGACGACAGCAGCGACACTTCTCGCTCGAGCGAGATACGAGAACGAGGAGGAGAGATCGCTGGCCGGGGAACAGTTGCGAGGCTGCGTCGGCTCCGCTTCTGCAGGAAGAGGCAGAGGAAGGGCGGCAGTAAAGAATGTCGCCGGCGCAGGGAAGAGAAGAGGGTGCGGCGTGGTGGCCCTTGTTCAGCTTCGAAGGAGGCCGACCCAACGATCCTGGAGGGCGTCCGTGAAAAACACTGCACTACTTTGAGATGGAGTCACGGTCCACGAGGCAATAGGAGAAGGAGCCGAGATTCAGTGGAGTCCGACGGGGAGACGGGTCTACTTCGAGATGTTTAGAAGTAGCCTTTACGGCGAAAGCTCTGATACCATGATAGAAAGAATATAAGATAAGAAGAATTATTGAAGAAGCTTTCGCTTGAATGCATTAACATGTCCCTCTCCTATTTATACAGATTAGGAGGGAGGATTTCCCTCAACAGAATAGAGAGATTTCCTCATGTAGTTAGGGAAATCTTATCTGCTATCAGAATGATCAATTATTACCATACTACTATTAGTCGTAAGATTCTTCATAATATAACGATTGTGAATACGATAAACTTCGCTCCCTGTCTACGTCATGTAAGCTCTGTCACATCTACTCAAAATCATCCACTGTCTTCCCCTTCCATGTACAAACGTGACTAGTATCTCATCGAGATTCATGATCTAAATCTTGGATGGTATGCATAAAATACTGCTCCTCGATCCATGCACCACCCTCAACGTAGACGAGACTATCAACTCCTCGATGTTACCGCCATCATTAATTAAGGCACTACTATCCACGCCATTGCCATATCTTTGGACCGAGATAGTTGTTGAATACGATTGAGAAAGTGTCTCGTCGCCCTACTCGATTCTTTCTAATGGTGAACTGATGCTACCGTCTTCCCTTTTACCTTTGTCTTGCACGCTGGATGGACGATTGTGATGATTGGGTGTCTCTAGTTCCTCGAGTAATCCAATTCAATATTATCTAACTCCTCCCGTCACATTCTAACCAAGGGGAATCTTCCTCCTGCTGAGGATATGCTTCCTTTTCTTATATTGTCTCGGTGATAAAACACGAAGGACATGGAGAATCTCCTGCCTCATCAAGTAGAGGATCCTCTTGGTTCTTCACTACTTCGACTCACTCTATCATTGGTTGTCAATATTCTTCATAGTATTGGAGGTCGATAAGATCAATCTCCTATTCCTCTGACTTCTTGTCCAGCTCAGTACACCGCAACCCTAGCCACATGTTGTAGTGGACATATATCAGTTTCTCCAACTATCTATATGATAATCTGTTGTGAACCTTCATGTGAATCAATACGAAGGTCGACCAATTACATTCGCAACCACTTGATGTCGTCATATGCAAAAGTACACGAATGGTAACCTTCCTTTAATTTAGTATCTCTTCCAAAATTATAACCACCACTCGATTGCAAAAAGATATAAATAGGACTTTATTAGTATAATAAATAATTAATATTAAATATGATTTATAATCAATATATGTGTAACTTTTTCTTACCGGGATCCATATTGTAACGACACAATATAGCTACGACATCGAAGAATGAACCGATTGTTTCCTGAAATAATCAACCCACCATAATAGCATTAACTGCATTGACAATATTTGGCAATAGTCCATAATAGCTTTTGGGGTTGAATGTGCTAATTTTATAGTTAAATCAAACATTTTAGTCATTCCCCAACAATTTTTCCCAGTATATCAACGTTCATGTCCACCTCGTCAGAAAACAATTCCAAAATAATGGTACCATTCGTGTACTTTTGCATATGACGACATCAAGTGAGAATTCTGCCTCCCTTCTCTAGTTGCTCTTGGCCACATATATAGCACGCCAATTATTTAGTAACATTCACAGTGAAGTGGCACAAGAATTACAGAATGGCAGAAGAATCTGTTAGTAATAAGCTTCAGTTATTTAATGAAGCGTCAAAAATGAATAAACAGAAAAGGCAGATTCTAATGTCATCATTAATAGGTACATATAGCCTGGTCTCACAAATTAGATATACAGAAAACATATGCAGCCAATTGGTAGTTAATGAAAGTTGGGACATCCATCATAAACCAGCAACAGAAGCAGGAGGCAACTATAGGATGAGATGCTTATGATTCATTTTTTCGGATGCCAAATGTGGTAACTCAATTAAAAAATAACTTATTCCCTTACTCTTAGTAGTTTTTTTTTTCCCTTCTCGATAAGACTAAAGCATGCAATGGTCATATAGTGTTTGATAGCTGCTTAAAATTTCGAGTTCCAAATGTGAATTAAAAGGAAATTTAAAATATTCGGATTTTAATTGCAAGGAAAAAACTCGAATAGTTCTGTATGCTAGTTTACACATATAAATATCAAACTCATGTAGGACTAAAAAGTTTTAGTCAACATACCTTCAAGGCATATAATGTACTGCAAATTAGAAACATCAAAAACTACCTTCACTGTCCTTTTGCTATACTTTTCAATTCCCTGTGTCACCAGCCTGCAGCAGTAGGAATCATCACCTGAATGGGTTCAGAAAGGGGAGAAAAAGAGCAAAAGGACCAGAAGCAGCACGATGGGAAAAAGTCATATATGTCCCAAAAGGTACTTATAGTGGACAAGCACTTTACCTCGATTGCTGCATTCAGATCCTCGGTAGCATCTTCTCTCTTTGAGTATCTAAAGTGTGCAATAAGCTTAAAGAACATTACTATTCGACCATGAAAATGTAGGAGAATAAATTAAAAGAATTCATATAGAAGGTTAGTAATGACTTGCCTTTTGGCAAGTTCTTGTTTCTTCAATTCCGGTGGCTGACCATCAAATACATAACTGGCATGACAAAAACAGAAAGCTGCATTAGAAAACAAAAAAAATGAGAAAACATTACTTCCCAGATAAAGATGTGGACTTACACTGGCTTTTTTGCCAGTGTAACAAATGGCTTTTTTGCCACACCAAACGTCAAAACAAGACGAACAAACAAGCAATCCCATTGAGTATAGATTAAACTCAAGATTCAAACTTCTTTCTTGTCATTAATAAAGAAAATAAAAGAAAAAAGGAAAGATAGAAATGATTCGTCAACCTTGTGACTACCCCCAGCCTCATTGGTGAGGGTTTCCATACCAGTCCTTCCCACGACGGTCTATACGAAACGGAAATAGCCATAAATTACGAATCCGAGAAAGATTAGGCGGGGAAACGAGAGTTCAAAAGCTCCGCAGCCGTCTGTCATGACCCAAACCCTAAACTCGTCTCAGCGTATCCAAGGAACTCTCGCACGAGAAACCAAAAAGAAAAGATCTAATTAGTCACAAAGCCCAATGCTAGAAACGAGCGATGAGATACGACAACGGACAAGGAACTGGTAGATGCTCATACTGGCACTGACCGCGATCTTCCGGCCGAAACAGCTCTCGAACTTCTGGTCCTTCATGGCCTTGGGGGCGTTGTCCGCGAGGAGCTTCGTCCAGCAGGTAAAGAGCAGGAGACGGGGGACCCCATCACGCGGGGAAGAAGCTAAGAGACAACTACAGGGACAGAGGAAAAACAAAACCCTAACCTTGATTCCCATGCCGACGGGGATGAGGAAGCTTCGGTCGTAGAGAACTCGCAAAATAGAGACTAGAAAGACCGGGATCGAACAAAAGGGAGAACGATGAAGAGAGAGGGTTTGGGCGCTTAGAAACACTTCTATTTCCCTTCCCGCCTCACCGATTCATCTATGTTTGTTTGGATCCGTCATCACCCGCTTCCGTCCACAACGAAGAGGTAGGTTTTCTGGGCCGTCTAATGGGCCACATCATTGTGGAGCCCATTTCGATTGTATAACCATTAATCTCAAATTTTAAAGCTTAAATTATTAATAAATGATCCAATATATCTAAAAGTTTTAATAAGATTTTGAACCGAGCATTATGTTAGATTTGAAGGATCCTAATGTTATTAAGAGAGGGATTGTGTTAAAAGTAGTTGAGATAGTAAGATAAGAGAGTCATTCCTTTTGTTCTGTTCCATGCGTAAGGAACAAGGAAAACACAGCATAACTTGGATTTTGCCATCTCCATCTTGTCTAATTGAAACTGTGATGGAATCAAATTTGGAACTCTTCTGATATCTCAACACGTCTTCCTTGATAACGTCGTATGCACATACAACTGCGCCTGCCATATCACTTTGTGCACCCTTACGTAGGTCGATCAGCCATGACCAAGCCATGCATTGCATGCACCCCGCACATCACAGGACGTAAGGGTTAGGAAATGAATGACTGGTGTGCGCTACGTGCGTGCATGCATGCATGCTTCGCCGAGTTACAGGTTCGGTGAATGAGAGTGTGGCGGCCCCACAGCTCATTGCCAGTTTTCCAATCGTGGCTTGCTGATGAGGCTGTTTGCTGTTATGGAAGAGGCAATCCAACCGGGCTGGCAAGTGCAATGTCTAGGGAGAGGATCGGCTACGAGCACTCAAACAGCGAATTTATTCGAGATCGCGTTTTTAATGGCCACAACATCCCAAAAAAGCATCGCCTCCCTATTTCTCGACCGATGATTGGATACGTAGTAACAATTGTAGGCTATCATGGATTCTGATCATAGTTCCGCTTCCGGTCGTTCACACCCCTTCGTTCTTTCTTTCCATCTCTATAAAGACCGCCGGCAAAAGGGACATCGGTGTGTTCCTGTCCTGCTTACCATGGCTAGGAGCAAGGTTAGGCTATCGTGGATTGTCAACGACTCCACACGCCGCGCCACCCTGAAGAAGCGGCGCAAGGGGCTGTTGAAGAAGGTGGAGGAGCTGAGCATTCTGTGCGGGGTGGATGCGTGCGCGGTGGTGTACGCGCCGAACGAGCACCAGCCGCAGATGTGGCCGCCCCCCCCGGACACGGCCCGGATAATAGCGCGCTTCAGGAAACTTCCGGAGATCGAGCGCACCAGAAAAATGATCAACCAGGAGTCCTTCCTCCACCAGCGGGTCTCCAAGCTGGTGGAGCAGCTGCGCCGGCTGCATCGCGAGAACCATGAAATCGGGATAACCAAGCTGATGTTTGAGGGGCTCCGGGGCCGCGATTTCGACGACCTGTGCCTCGAGGACGCCTCTGCCCTCACCTGGATGGTGGAGACCAAGCTGCGAATGATCTACGAGAAGAGGGAGGAGGTCTCCAAGCGGCTGGCCATGCCCCCGCCGCAGCCGCAGGCTGCCGCGGCTCTTGCGGCCACAGCCACTGAGACGCAGCAGACGCCACCGGCCCAGCCACCGGCCCCGCCACAACCCACGGGGTGGAGCAACCCGGTGAACCATGGACAGCAGGCGGTGGAGGCGGTCCAGCAGCCGAACTGGGTCACGGACGTGATGGTTAACTGGTCGCAGCAGGACAGCGATAATTTGCTTGTGGATCTCACCACCACATGGCCGGCTACCCTGTTCCACTGATCTCAGATGAACTCGCGTGGTGACTTTCTAATAATCTGCTTGTTCTATCTCCTCTAGTCTTTCTATTCCATCGCCCATGGGATTCTTGTCTTGCTTTCCATGCATCTTTCATGGTTATGTTTATGTATATAGACACATATACTATATTTTTGTACCTGTTCTTCATTTTTATGACCATGTCTTATTCTCTACTTTAAAAAGAATGAAAAGCATATTGGAGACCAATTCATATACCTTATTTATGTGTATATCCTAACTCATCAACACTTTCATGTTCGATGAAATGGGAAACAGAGTAGCATGTGACATTTGTTTCTCACTGATATCTGGATGTTCTGAAGCAACAAATAACACTAGTGAAGATTTCATCACTGATAAGACTTTGATCAAGTCGACAAAGAAAAAAGATTGTGCTGAAAATGTTGATATTTTGACTGCAAAGCTGCAAGTCTGATGCATGATGCCAAGAGTGATGCATTACGTACAGCTCTTTGCTCTTTGACCAAAACAATTTCATGTGCTATCTTGTTTTAACGTGAGTGGAAGAAGAAGAAGTTCTTACGATTCAATCGGCCGAGGTATTATTCTCATGGATCAAACAATGGAGGAATGTACACGCAAGGAATGTGGTAATTTTTTCCTGTCAACTCGGCCTGTTAGATGTCAATCGAAAGCCACCATGCATTGACAGGGCGACATGTCCGGTACATGAATGCACACAGACAGAAACAGAGACCTAGAGCTTCATGTGGCGTATGAGATGCCTTTGGCTTCACAGGAGAATCCAAATATTTATTCTTCTTCTCCATCAAAGAACATAGCATGTACACTGTTCTTACGAGAAGTCGTCTCTACTGGACAATGGAGAAGACAATCATCATTCCTTCTTATAAATTAATTCCTCTTGCTTGTCCTAAACTTCCCGTAGATTCTACGTTTAAGTGCAGAGAGAGATTGATAGTGATAAACTGCGCGCTCTAGTTCAACTAAATCTCGCCATGAGCATGACGCCATGGGGATTACCAGTACAGTAACTTGTGGTGTCTCCTCCGTTACCGAGCACCTAAGCTAGAATTTACACACGAAGAGCGTCTCAAAGACTCGGAATCCTCAGCGTCGGCCATGTTCTCCGGGGTTGGACTTGTCGAGGATGGACCACATCACCTGGACGTCATGGTAGGAGCAGGCCATCACCTCGCCGTGAAGAGCCATTCGGTGGGGATCATGTGCTTCTGCAACCAGGTAAGCGTGGCCTTTGTTAGTCCATGCCACCGCGCAATCAGAGCAAGAAAGCAGGGAGACAAGGCAGGAGAGCAAGCACACTTCACCTGGTTGGGGATTCTTCTGTCTGGGCGGATTGATGAGGGTGCAAGCCTTCCTGAAGGGGGAGGTGATGGTGCGAACCCAAGAACCCATGGCAGCAGCCTCCGCAGTTTGTGCGCCCGAAGTGAATTGAACTGGTGAATGCTGAATCTGAGACCTCCATCTGCTCTGGGATTATATAGAGAGAGAGAGAGTGAGTTGCAGCTAAGGGAGGACATATTATTCTGCAACCTCGCACAGGCACATGGATCACATTATTCTGCAATGGTCAGCTCTGCCGCCTTCTTCTTTAATAGGAACAGTATCAAACATGCACTAAAAAGAAGTCTGAATCCATCTCTCCTGGTGCTAAACAATAACACAAGACTTGCCCGTGTTGGAGAACTCCCATGGAAAATTTTTGTGGCACAGCATCGCACACTACTTTAATGGCCTGGGGACTTGGGAATGGCATCGACTGAGATGGTCAGAACCGATCCATTCGATGGGAGGTGGTCTCTATGTTATCTTTGGATGTCTTCCCGGTCCTCAACAACGATTGTTGTTACTTTATCCTCGCACTTCTAACCATGCATGTTGCTTCCATGTGAATCACCACCGTCCTCCCTCGGGGAAGAAAGCGAGAGGCTGACACAATGTTGCAGATAGTCGGGGTCTGATGTGACCTCCTCTCCTGCTGCAGTTCCAATCGCTGTTTTGCGCAGGACGTGATGGCTTTCTTTTTTCTTCGGTGAAGGACTTGTGAGGAGGATGTTACAGGGTTCAGAGCCATGTGTTCATTGCTCAGGAGAAACCACTGAACCAGTAGCTTCAGAGACCACAGGAAGATGAGCGGATTTGAGCACTTTGAGGGAACTCAATCACCTTCATGCCTTTCACTTTATGGAGAATCTACGCACCAAGGAAATAGTTATTGCTCTCTGTGATAGCAAAAGAAGTGAAGTACAGCTCTCGTTTATTGTTCATTGTTAGAATAAAATTGCTATCATTAACTCGAGATCAAGTCAGATTTTGTTTGACAGATGACATATGTAGAGTCGACAAGCACGATTAGTGTGCACTGAGACAAAAGAAAAGAGATTAGAGATTATGAAGCTTGGGAGTTGCATTTAGATTTCTGAATAATCTTTCAATACCAAAAACATCGCACGGGAGCAAGCCGTTAGCATAAAACTATAATTATATGATTATTATTAAAAAAAATTAATATTAAAATCAAAATAAAATAACAAAACTAGAATTATATACTTTTTGATATCGTTCAGAATACCTTTCATCTCATCTATAAACATATCTGTGCAATCTGAAGATTATAATATGCAAAGAGAACTAGATTGATATTTTTTCTCTTTGTAGTCTTCATAAAACTATTATAAATGATAAAATAAAAATTAATAATATATCTATAATATTTTTTAATTTTTATGAGATTTTATCTATTTATAAATAAGAGCAAAGCTCCATGATAAATAATTTAAAAAATCTCTCCCATTAAAATCATCTCAATAAAAAATTAATAATTTTTTAATAATTAAAATTTATTTTTATTGATCGATAACATTAATTAGAATCCAATCAAATTTATAACTTATCTTAATTAGACAGAACCATCCTCTTTGTCGTACCTTTGTTGCGCTGCCATCATCTGTCACTTATGTATTGCATCGTAATGTCATGCACATTGTCGATGCCACCCACAGTCACGTCGACATCGCCTGTGACGTAGCTAGTATCCTATTAGCGTTAGTCGTGGTCAACACCCAAATTGCCAACTTCCACCGTGCACAACCCTCTAAGACTATCGCCATGTACTGTAAAAATACGATGTTGTGCCCAATCATAAGCCACACATATCCACACAATTGATTCCTTACCATGTTCATTGAGTACAGTCGTCATGTGATCTCTCATTGGTCCGGTGGCTAACAATCACGTGTGTCGTAGCATCACCATTCATTGTCATCACAGCCTATAGTTGCTGCCATCAACATCGGCCGCAGGCAAGCATGCAGTCAAGTTCTACTACTGCGACCCCGCAATTGCTACCCCTATGCTACCATCGATAATAGCAACTGCTCTAACAGGGGTACTCCTTCATGTTAGGAACGAATCCACGTTAAAAGGGGGGATAAATTAGTGCAGCGAATAAAAATATCAGTTTCGTAAAATCTTCGTTTCGTACGATAAAATCGATCTTGGAAAGATATTAAACTTCAAGGCGCTCGTAACAGTACAATGAGAAAGTAAAGTAAGTAAGAATGTTTGTAATAAAGTAAATTACATAAAAGAAAAGCAAACCAGATTTTTATAGTGGTTCGGTCGTCGTGACCTATATCCACTCCCGATTCCTTTTCCGTCGAGGCTACCGGTATTTACTATCGGTCTTCATTCAATAGGCGAAGACCAACCACCTTTTACAGTTCTTTCTCCTTTTACTGGGTTTAGGAGATAACCCTTACACCCCCCACTTATTCCTCTCTCAAACTATTCTAACACTTAGAAGAATGAGAGGAGTCCATATAAGATTACAGTAGTGTTTCTTTCTTTTTTCACTCTCAATACTTGTGTTGTTTAACCAGGAATGAGAGAGGTATTTATAGGCTTCAAGTTGATTCAAACTTGGAGCCTAAAAAGGTCTCATCCCGGGTTTCTCGGGTCTTGGCGGTACCACCACCTGTGCTAGGCGGTACCACCACCTGCAGCATTGACACTGGGCGGTACCACTGCCTGACATAGTCTCGGAGACTATGTCTGAGTGGTACCATCGCGTGACACAATCTCAGAGACTTTGTCACGACGGTGCCACATGTTGGGTCACTATTTGGGCCTTTCATTGGGCCCAACACAATCCATACATGGGCCCAACTGGCCCCTAATTAGATTAGCCCAACTGGCCCCTAATTAGATTAGCCCAATTTCAATTCTAATTATGTGCTAACTACGAAATCTAAGATAATTACTAAGCTAAACAAATCTGTAAGTCTAGGTTTCTTCTGGCAAGCTTCCCGCGATCTTCCGGCGAACTTCCGACGATCTCTCGACAATGTTCCAGCGGACTCTTGACAAACTCTAGGACTTCACGACGATCTTCTTGGCGAGTTCTGATGAGCTTCTTTGGTAAGCTCTTGGACTTCTCAATTAATTTTGGTAGAACTTCCGACGAACTTTTGAACTCACAACGAAATCGCGTCATTGACTCCGAGACTTCATTTTGCTTTATGTCTTGCTATCATAGTTAATCCTGCACACATAAAATCTACTTCGACCTAGACAATTAATACTAAGCTAATCATATGTTGTTCGGTATGTCATTGGTTCATCGACGCCTCATCTGATTGTTCGGCGCATCGTCCTCTCTTACGACCTATTACCCAATCGGCCAGTTGACCTCCACAACTCTGATTTCCTTAGTGCAATATCCACTCTTCTTGGCCCGATACCCGAACTCATGGCCCGAAACCTTCTATCGATACATTGACCGATCCTTCGGCTCACGTCCAATCTTCTGACATATTTTTCTCCGACTCAACATGATTCTTCCTGCTTTAATTGTCTCTCCTTGATCGAAGCATACTGCGTCACTCAAAATACATATTAAATTATAAAGACTATCAATGATTGGTTGATAGTCTTTATAATCATTCCATCGAGGCAAAGGTACCTCGATGGAATGATTGGTTGCTCTAAGGTTAAGAGCCATTGTCTTGTCTGACTAGGCCAAATAAGGGAAAAAAGGGATAATAGATTGCATCATCCTCATTAGCATCTAAACTTATTAAATAAGATTCATGAAAACCTCTATTGGGATGACCATGTGGGTGGAGGTCTCAATTAGTGGAGAGAGGCTGGGGTCATTAAATAATCATTAGTATCACATTGGGTTTTGCATCAAGGTGAAAGTATTAAGAGCTAGAAATATTGACTATTGACTATTGTCGGTGAAGATGTTATTGGTTGGGGTTAGACCACCATCCTTTCTTAAGAGTCTATTAAGTGAATTGACATGATAACGTTTTTGTGACATAGGCCCTCATTTTAACCTAAAATAATATAGTAGATGTTGGTGATATTTATATACTTTGTTTAAGCCTACATGCACAAGAAGTCTAGATGGAGCTAAGATGGTCTTGAAAGCTCGAGCGAACGTCAATCTACATAAAGATTGAGTTCACATAAGATTTTTGATGTGGTCCCTTCGATGCTTAAGATAGTCTAAGAATATAAAGTATGAGTTTGGAGTAAACAGTAACCAACCTCGATTATTGTTGCTTAGTGAACTGTTTTATAGTGGCTGTAACCCATGAAAATATATTTGATATGGATGAAATCATCCTTAATAGTAACCAACCTCTTGTTGACTATGCTACCATGTGTGGAGTCATGATTAGGGTAAATATTTCTCTTATCATCATCTAATCAATCAATTTAATAGAATCAGTAAGCATATAATGAACTTGGTTGTAGGTATGCAACATAAAATACACAAAGCATATGCAAATATCTTGTATCATAAAAGTAACAACATTAAAAAGCAATATAGAGATGAATAATCTTCATCACTTATGACTTCAATCCTATTATCTTATGAAGCTTAATCATTCTGGGGCAATGCATGCAAATGATTGTATCTTATTCTAAAATCAAGAGACGTTCACACTTTCACTCGCTTGCGTTGACAATGGCCTAGCTTCTCCGAGTTGACCACTCCTTCAAGTCGTACATGTTCTTCAAGATGACTCCACCTTCAAGTCACTCGTCTCTAAGATACCATAACCTCAAAACGATCGTACCTTGTTTTCTAATCCTTCTCAAATAAACCTAAAGTTAACTAAAAGTCAATTATATGATATCTTTGATTTGATCGAAGCTCAATTTAACCATATGGATTGTTAAGTTTGTTTTAGGCTAGATGAGAACAGGTCTTACTTCTCAAACATATGGAATCGTCAACCTTACCATGCCATACATGGTTTAATTTTTCTTTTATTTTCACAAAAAAGGTAAGAAACAGTGAGATTTGACTTCCAAATCTATGATAAACTATCAAAATTTTTACCAACCAAATTAGTCGATATATTTAATTTAATAATAAAACTTTAAGTTCACCCAAATTTGACGTTGACCTATCTATCATGAGGGTAAATGTGGGCCTGATG